AATACTCCTTTTCAAATTCTCCCCAACAAGGTCCAACATTTCCCGTACCGTGGTCTTTGAAAATCGGAAGCGCTGTTTGAAATCGAGATCATCATAATTTTCCATTGGATTTGCCCTGTCTCTAAAAAGTCTTAGGCAAAACCAATTCATCATTGTCGCTTTCCAGACTTGATAATGATGTATCTGATATTTCTACGTTCTGTCTAGGGAATGCAATACCGGGATCGCGAGATCTCGAAATACCGGGATCCCGCAGCATTTTTGCGGGATTAATCCCGTACAGAAATTAAGCGCGATCCCGCGGGATTTGCGGGATTGCAAAATTTACGACGTTGTTTAAAATTTATTAATAAAACGCGTAACGGAGAAGTGCACATACGTACAGGTCGTCCGTAAATCAATATCTTGAAAACCGCCATTTTGAAAACTTTTTTCTACGTCCATTGAATTTATCCGATCGAATCTTGCAACTTATTTAAAACTTTCTTCGATAGCTCTCTTTGTTACTAAAATATTGACATTTTAAAAAATGTCGATTTTCACTTTTTTTCCAATTATCTACGAAACCAATTATTTTTTCAAAATATCGCGTCGGAATATCCATCAGCATCAAAAACTACACAACTTTGCCAATTTAACTGAATCTGTAAGTATAACAATAACATAGATAACCATCCTACTCAATTTAAAACACCCTGTATACTCTTCGATTGTTTATAAAAACTTTAGTAGTACAGTGTGGCTGTATTTGTAGTGAATATTCTAAAAATCCAGATAAACGTGGAGGCCGAAAGCGGATGTGACGCATCCTTTCCGGGAAATACGATATGTTTTGTTCGAGAATATTCGGTTAATCCGCACAAAATTGCATATTTCCCAATACATTTAAAATTTTGCGGGATCCCGCGGGATTAACATAAACGATCCCGCAAATACCGGGATCGAAATTTTGCCGCGGGATTGCATTCCCTAGTTCTGTCGTTATAATTCCAGTTTAATTCTCCGATTTGACGAATTAGAATAATTTTGATCTAATCAATGACAAATGTAGGATTACAGGTTCATGCAACCCAAAACCAACGTAATCAGGGATTATAGTAGGAATAAACTTAGATTAGAATAATCAAGATTAGTTTAATCCAAATACTTGATCATGCAACCAAAATTTTTGTTTAATCTCAGATTTGGAAAATAATCTTGGATTTCGATTATAATTCGCTTCTTACGTACAGCAGAAAACGCAAACCCATTTTATTCCAAAACGCGATTAATGATAGGTACTACTTTGTCTAGATCTTCATTAGTAAAAAATCTTGGAGTTATCTTTGACTCGAAGTTACAATTTTCTGAACATGTCAAATCTGTATGTGCGTCGGCATCTAAAACATTAGGTTTTATTATAAGAAATTCAAAATCTTTTACAGATACACAGGTTTTGTTTCGCCTGTACTTTACGTTAGTGAGACCCAAATTAGAATATTGCGATATAGTTTTGGTACCCGCAGTACGATGTGCAAAAACAGCTTATTGAACAAGTACAACGCAGATTCTTGAAGTACGTTTCTTTTAAGCTTGATGGCGCGTATCCTGAAAGAGGCTTTCCACACCAATCTCTCCTATCCCGGTATACTGTCCAGTCGATGGAATGCCGCCGAATTATATATATTATAATATTGTGTAAAGCCCCTACATTAATCATGTCTCGTAATTTTAATATGGTCTGCCAGGATTGTGATATACAATATACCTCTCTACCGGAAATACTTCGCCAACTCATTACTAAGCTCAATAATTCTTTAAGATAATTATTACATATTATTTTTATTTTTTATTTTATTTTTTCTCTTTCATTACTCCTATTACTTATATCTCTTGTATATCTCTGTTGTTCATTTGCACGTTTTAATATAATTTATATATTTTTTTTATTTTGCGCAATTTAATCGAATTTAATTATCTTTCAATGCACTTTTACAAATTTTGTATGTTTATAATATTAATTTACTTAAGTATACTATTTTAGTTACATTATTTTAATTTCACTCTTGTAATTGTAATTGTATTGTTGCTCTATCATTGGAATGTTTTCTGTTTGAGCAATAAAGTATTATTATTTCTTGCAACCGGCCGTCAGAGACGTAAAAAATAGCAAGGTTAGGTTCTGCGATCGCGATCGTTTCCATAGGAACAGAATTGTCATATGTTCTGGACGTCATTTTATATCGTGCATTTGAAATAAGAATGACAGATGTCATTTGAATGCACGCTCATCTGTTTCACTTTATCTACCCTTACGGTTAAAGAACGGCTTAGCCCTGGGCTTAGCCTACTCATTTAAACCCATTAAAATGTCAATTTAACATATGCTATAAAATAAATAAATATATAAGTATTACCCCCCGGAGGTGATGATCGCGGGTTAATCAGCGAAGTCGAGAAAACAATTAATTAAATAAATTAGCGGAAAAGGATGTTCAATTAATACTTACGGGAGACTTCGATTCAAAATCGTTCAAGTGGAATAGCAGTGAGGAGAACTACAGGGTGGAACCTGTCTATGAACCCGGCAAAACGGCTAGTTCTTTTCACAAGGAAAAGAAAGGTAGAGTGTTTTCGAACCCCCCGCTAGTCCATTTCCAAATTTTCAGGGTCAGTGAAATATTTAGGAATCACATTTGGAAAAATACTAAATTGGGGCCAACATATTCAGCTCAAAGCGTATCTTGCTTGCATGGACGCGATGCGAACAACTCCCACAGCCGTCATAGAGGTCCTTCTGGATCTGCCTCCACTAGATCTCCTCGAGAGAGGTCAGGCGATTCTGGCATCCTTGCGTCTGAAAAATAGGTGGGTTGTTGAATAGCAGAGGTATTGAGGTGGGCCACTCTCGAATTCTGGGCAAGGCGATTAAGCGATTACCTTATCCTAGAAGATCGATCGGACTCACTAGTCCTCAATTCATATTGGATTATTTAATCTGTCGAACAAATAAAGGCTTATTATTATTACTGTTATTATTATATTAGCGAAAAACTACCAAATTTTTCTTGATGAGGATGTGGCATCCCTACTAGCCATATTCATCCTCATGGGCGGATCTAAAACAATGGAAGGAACAGGCACTGGTATTTACTCCAAATAACTGAACTTCCATATCACCCAACCACTAGGAAAACTTCATACTGTATTCCAATCACAGTTAGTAACACTAATGCTCAGTGCAAGAACAGTTCTTTTGGGTAACATAAAGAACAAAACTATCAGAATTTTCAGTGACAGCAGGGCTGCCCTCATTGAATCTTTAGAAATTTTAAATCGGTCAAAGTCTTCCATTAGCTTTCAAGGCCTTTTTCAAAAACTACCGGAGAACTTTCGTTCACCTTTTGTAATCGGCTGAGCTAATTTCCGGAGCTTTATACTGCCTTTACACAACTCTATAGAGTTACGAAAGTACTTCAGGTCGCTTTCAAACTTCTTGTCACTAATAGAATTCAGACCTTTTACATATGATATGCCACGTCCTTCACAAAACTTTACAGTTCATGTCCAGAACTTTTTGGAGTTGTCTGGCACCGAAAAGGGTGTGTAAAATTGTTCTATAAATGGTGGAAGAAGTATTTAGGTGGCGTTATGTCGTGCTATACTCGTATATAGTCCTCTACTATAGAACAAGATAGACATGTTCCAAGACTTTTTGGACCACTAAAAGTTTTGTAGGCGTTTCGAAGATCTGGCAGGTCTACCGATTTCCAAGATAAACGAGTTAGATTTGCAAATGAATACAAAATTCCGTAATAAGTTACAGGTTTATTAATTCTTGAAAACCCTTACAGAATTAATTCAGGGAATTATTTAAGTTTCTTCAAGGATTCTACAGATGTTCCTCCAAAACTATTTCTCTAGGATTTTAAAGGCTTTTCAGGGTTTAGGTCAGAAAATGTTTTTGTGAATTAAGTTTTTTAGACAGCCTTGAGGGATAATTAGGCCTACTATAAAGGCACAAACCCTGTTCCATAGGCCAAAAAAATAGCAATAAAGTCAGTATAAAAACGTCGTAGAACCGGGCGTAGAACACTGAGCGAAATTCAGAAATTGGATTTAAAAAGTTCATTAGCTCAAAAAACGCGAGATCATAAAAATGGCCACCATTTACCCGTATAGGGAAGCCAATGAACCCAACCCAAGTGCACTATATTTATAGGTTTTATTATTGGATCATGGATGGTAGAGGAATTCCTTTATCGATTACATGGGAGAAAGGATTAATCGAAAGGATCTCTTTCTTTGGGAGTTTTTTGCGCGGGTCACACTACGAGCCATTGGAAAAATGTCCAGGTATCCCACAGGAATGACTGTGGACCTTAAACTCTACGCCGCTTCGTTTACAGTCGTAGAAAGGTGGAGTTTAAACTTGACCGCAAAACGCGGTACGTACTATCGCTATCTATCCACACTGGAATAATAACCGACCTTGAACCAGTGAAGTATTCGCATAACATACGAGATGGTTTTATCATTCATCGACCCTAGCTAGAAGCGTTTTTTTGCAAAACGCAATTTTAGAAAATATATTATCAGTAGGTGACCTTGATTAATAATGATACCAAATAAACGATTAGGAAAGTTTCCCAGCGATGCGCACTTTTCTGCCCGTTTAAAGTAACCGCGAAAACTGCAGATTTCTGTGGGCGCGGATAATTCACATGAAATGCCCATTGGTTTAGTGGAACAATCACCGTCCATGAACCGTCGCCAAATTCTGCAATCGCACAACTTTGTTTACGAGCGATGGACGGGTTTGCTAATTTCGACCTCATTATTCTACGAATAGTTTCTGATTAAATGTCAGTGTACGGAAAGTGTACTGTTTTCGCCAGATTAATCAACGTCGGTCATTGCTCGTAGGTGATTTCCCAATAATTCCCGATTCATTACCTTGCGCCTTGACTCTGAGCAACATGCGCATCAATTATATAAATAGGGAGGCTACAGCGATTCATGCTCAGTGCGCGCTTACACCTTTTATTGATGCTGCATAATCATGCTCATTATAGTTTTGTTTGTTATCGTCGCGATACTGATTTACTATCAGTTCTTTGAACCGTTCACTTATTGGAGGAAGAGAGGCGTTCCTCATGAAAAACCCACGTTCCTCTTTGGAAACCTGGCACCGGTGATCTTGCAGCAGATGTCAATGGCAGATGCCTCCCTCTTGACCTATCAACAGTTCAAGAATGAAAGGTGACTATCAACATGACATCAATCCATAATGAATGCCGCCTTGCAGGTACATTGGGGTCTACTACTTCCTGAAACCAGGCCTAGTCCTGCGCGACCCAGAACTGATCAAGCTGATCTTCGTGAAGGAATTTGAAACCTTCCCGGAGCACAACACCTTCACGTCAGTCGAAGCCGATCCAATCTGGTCGAATTCGCTCTTTGCAATGCCAGGTAAGCACCAAGTAAAACCGAAACCACCTTTCATCGACATCTTCAGGTGGGCAGCACTGGAGGGATATGAGGGCGATCTTAAGTCCCACATTCACAAGCAGCAAACTGCGTCAGATGTTCTGCTTGATCGACCAATGCACGAAGCAATTCATCGAACACCTGGTCGCGCAAGGCGGCTTCGTCGAAATGGAAATGAAAGACGCATTTTCAAAGGTGACGAACGACATTATTGCGACGACTGCTTTCGGAGTTACATGCGATTCACTTACAAACCCGACAAATGAACTTTTTCGCAACGGAAAAGAAGTCAGTAACTTCAGCGGGTTCGCGAATAGCCTCAAATTCTTTATCAGCAATATCAGCCCGAGTCTGGCTAAGCTTATGAAGATTCGCTTTATAAGCGCGCCGACCACGGAATTTTTTAGGCGTATTGTCAAGGAAACCGTGACCTTAAGGGAAGAAAAGGGGGTGGTCCGACCGGACTTAATTCACCTTCTCATGGAAGCGCGAAAGGGAAAATTAAAGCGCGACCATAGCCCTGATAACCAAATCGCTGCGGTTTCCGAGCACTTTGAGGTTACCGACGATATCATGACCGCCCAAGCGGTGGTCTTCTTCATGGCCGGCTTTGATACCTCTTCCACAGCTATGTCGTATACGACGTACGAGCTTGCGTTAAACTACGACATTCAGCAGCGCCTCATCGATGAGGTTGATCGCACTTTTGAGGCGTGTGACGGGAAATTAACGTACGATCTGCTGATGGGCATGAAGTACCTGGACATGGTGATCTCAGGTACGTGATGAGTTGCTTAGTGCGAGACTGTGACTTTCTTTTACAGAAGCCCTGCGCAAGTGGCCTCCGTTTGCTATCACCGACAGGTGCCCTGTTCGCCCATTTACACTGCCTTCCACCAACGGCGAGAAACCCCTTCTACTCGACCGACATGTCGTTTGCCAAATACCGATCTACGCAATACATCGCGATGAGACTTACTACCCTGAACCCGTAAAGTTTGATCCAGAACGTTTCAGCGAGGAGAACAAACACAAGATCAAACCCTTCACTTATTTACCGTTCGGTGTCGGACCACGAAACTGTATAGGATCAAGATTTGCACTTCTCGAAGTCAAAATAATTATAGCGCACATTTTAAGAAAGTTTGAAATTGTTCCGATAAAGAACACTCCGATTCCTCTAACGTTTAGTAAAGACAATGTTAACCCTGTGTCCGATAAGGGGTATTGGGTGGGTTTAAAGCCTCGAATGTGATATTTTTAGTACCAAATGTAGGATTTTAGTCATTTAATATGTTATCGCACAGTATTCTTTAAATAAATAATGCACATTTTATTTTGGAGGCTTCCTTTGCTTCTTTTACTTATTTTGACCGAGAGGTCCAATGGGTGGAATTCAAATTGACCATGTGATTCTATAATAAAATTGCGCGCCATTTGAAAGAGCACTTACCTTTCAAGGATGCGGAAAACAATACGATTACATAAACTTTGTTTACTTTTAATTCCATGATTAACGGGAAGTACGAGGGCGCAAATGACCTTCGCATTCTAAGTAGGTTTAAAAATATATTTATCTGAATGTTTACGGAAGGTTCATTTGCATCACTATGAAAGTTTTACAACAAAGAGCTACTTTTAAAAGGAATATGTGGCAGTGAATGTTTTCGGAGGTATAATCGTAGAAAATATGAGTTCAATGCATCCAACAAGATAAACAAGACGAAGAGTGATCTTATTCGCTTCAAAAGCTCCAAAAACGACGACAGGGGAGGCATCCCATGGAGTGTAAGAACCGCGGGAAAACTCTTTGAGGCCCTTTTAGGCATTTAGAAACTCTGTTTGGTGCATCTAAAGCGATCTTCAATGACCGACAAGATCGTTTGAAAAGGTTGAAACACTTATAAAAGCTCCAACTTGGATCACTCTATATTAAGATTCGATCTTGATCGGTGTGTCTCATCGTGGGAACCATCACAAGCTCCACGTTTACAAAAAAAAACACAAAAGTCTTTGCTTCCGTGCGCAAAGGTTCTATATAAATGTCCCAAAAAAGAGGCAAACCTGAAGTGGGAGAATCCCCATCTTTTATTCTCAAAAAATCTTGAGAATCGTTGGATGCTGTTCTCTGGACTTACATACCAGCTGGAAGATGTTATGGTGGCGCGATGCCCATGTCAAGACCAAGAGATAGATTCATCTTTTTAAGACAAGGAATAGTGGTCCTCCTGAAGTATTTCATTAAAGGAAATAGCCCAGCTTTTTTTTTTAATTAGCCCTATCGGGATCGATGCCCATGTGGCTAACAGGAATGGAAACAAAATGACAAGGATGACACTCTTTACTCCATGCGGTCTTTCATGGAGACTTTTAATCAGACAAACACAATAAATAGACCACGGAACGGTTTAGGATGACGAACAGAAGTATGTTATGACAGAGGTATTCATCAATGAATGATTTTATTTATTTAAATTTGAATTTTTAATACAGGATATTTGTGCTCAAACGGGCATCTAGCTGGAAAGTTGTGGGGTAGTTTTGATTTCTTTGATTGTATACGTTTTTTGGGGTGATGAATCCGAATCTGAGGTTTGCCAACAAAATTTCATGACGCAACATTGAAAAAAATACAAAATAAGTTGAAAAAGATATTTTTTTGGTAGTTTTGTGCTTACAACTGGAAAACTATCAACTTTTCGAAAATAACCTTCCTATTCAAAATATAAGTACTTAAAATTTCCTACAGACCCCACTATTTAGTTTTTTCCTCGAGGAAGAGAGTGGGAATAATTTTAGATAGCACAGTATAAGTATTATATATTATAAATAATATATCTAATAATATGATATACTGTTGTTCGTTAGAAATTAACTTTTCATACAATTCTGGACTACAATAAACACCTTGAACGTTATGAAAATGAGAAAAAACCACCCTTACATATAAAATTCAAATAATAGTAGGTAAATGCAAGGAATTCACTTTAATTTTAATTTAAGGTTTTAGTGCGAAAAAACTATGTTTTGTGGAGACAGCCGAAATACGTCAATTTTCAACTGGCGCTTGAGCCCGAACGGTTTATCGAGGAAAAAAACTAAATAGTGCAATCTGCAGGAAATTTTATGTACTTTAATTTTGAATAGGAAGGTTATTTTCGAAAAGTTGATAGTTTTCCAGTTGTAAGCACAAAACTGCCAAAAAAATATCTTTTTCAACTTCTTTTGTATTCTTTTCAATGTTGCGTCATGAGATTTTGTTAGCAAACCTCAGATTCGGATTCAGCACCCCAAAAAACATATAGAATCAAAGAAATCAAAACTACCCCACAACTTTCCTGGTAAAAATACAACTTAACTGGATTATTTAGCTTCCATCAAAAATTGCACCAATGCGTCGTAGATTTTTTTGTTATTAGCTTGTCATTCATTTGAATATTGCCAACTAAATTATACATAAAATAAATTATATTCTGAAACGTTTTGCCATTTTTGAAATAGTTGCATTTGAGCTGCGCCAAACAATCCGGGCGATAGAGGGCTGAAAAACAAACATGTTTTTTTTGTTTGGACGCCACCCTTAAAAATCCCTTAAGATTGTTTGCCTTTTTAATTTTTTTCTCGAAGACCATAGGACGCATCAAGGAAAGGGGGCATGTTTTGGGATGGGATCATGCTCTTTTAGATTTTCTAAATATTCTTGCAGAATTCCTACCCGTATCCCTAAACGGGCGGGAAGAACCTCTTTCCAAAAAATTAAATGCACCTGTATAAACATTATTGGTCTTATCGGAATGACATGTGTAGATATAACAACAATCACAAGATTTAAAATGGTTACTTTACACTTCTGGCAAGTTTTGCTTTGGGGAAACCTTTTTTGTGAGCTATTCAACTCCCACGCATTAGAATTGTGGGCATCAAAGGTTAATTGTAAGTTACGAATGTGAAATTTAGAAATGTTAACAGTAGTTAAAGCAATGATAGCCGACTTTACCGGGGGTGCAAGGGGTGCAGGGCACCCGGGCACAGGACCTTAAGAGGCGCCGAGTGCCATAAATCGTGATACTACAAATTAATACATTTTTGAATAATCTCGAGGATTAGAGTAATTTGGAAACGCAAGAAAAAAAAAGTCTTAATCTACAAAAAAAATTAACAAGTGGCATATAGATCTGATATAGATGGGGAAGATCTATTCAATGAATTAGAATTACTGCCAAAATTTTCTATAAATAAAGATAAAACTTCATTAGGTGTTTTAAATTATAATATATATCGTAATAATTTAATGTCTGTGTTTCCAAACTGGTGAGTAGCTTTAAGAATATACTTAACACTTCCAGTGACCGTAGCTGAAGGCGAAAGGTCGTTTTCCAAATTAAAATTAATTAAAAATAATTTACGGCCCACTATGACCCAAGATAGGTTGACAAATTTGGCAGTTATTAGCATAGAATCTGAAATTAATATTAAAATGCACTTGCCAATTCCAAAGCTCGAAAAATTGACTTTGATGTAGGTACCACTTAATTAAATATAGTCTGTTGACGTATTGTGATTTTAGCTTGTTTGATTTTAGATAAATAAATAAATAAATGAAACCCTAACATCACATTGTATTTTTTTATTGACAGGGGGGCGCAGGCTGACCCCCGGCGCAGAATATGCTTGAGACGGCCCTGAGCCCAATAGTCCTTGCAGTTTCAGATTCTGCTCCAGAATGGGCTCCGGAATCTTAATTGTATACCCTTATACTCCATAACTATATCTTCGCATATTAAATTAAAAATTAAAGGGACGAATAACGCCTTCCAAAGGTTTTGCTTCAGGGTCGTGATTGGATATTATGTTTTATTTACCCATCAACCTAACTTTCCCTCCACTTTACCATAAACAGAAACCTAGGAACTTCAAATAAAGATCAGATTCTAAAATTTCCATCCAAACTCGCGAATGATTTCATGCGCCCTCGGCTCGTAACTGCAAATTTTAACATAAGTGAAAAATGAAAGCCATGAACGTCTTCCCAACCTCAAGATTCAAGTTTTGCTTGAAAATTGGCGAGTGTAAACGATTTTCTTCAAGCTCCTAACTTTAAATGTTAGACTTTTTTGTAGATCATTCAACCCCATATTTTTAATTTTTGAGCTTTACGGTAAAAATTAACGCTAGGATTGGCCAAGGAGCATCTTCGTCTATAATTTTGTTTCAGTATTGCGACGAAAAGTACGTTTTTTGCACCTGTCAACTCCTAACATTAAAGTTTTGCTTTTTAAACTGGACTACAATCTCATCTCCATAAATTAATGTTATCATTTTTCGTTATAAATTAAAGCAGGCTATACACCTCGATTGAAAATGCTTCTATACAGGGTAGTTCAAATGCGTGGCTTCCCATTAGGATCTCCATAACAGCTATGGATAGAGGGTAGGTTAAATGAGGGGCAAAGTTTTCCCTTTTTGTGATTGACATTTTTGAAAAATCTTTGAAAATAACTGAAATATCACCGAAAAGCTGAAAATGGCAAATTTTGTTTTAATTTTACCTAGCTTAAACTGTCAGAAATGAACGGTTTCCGTTAGCACCTTCTATGGGCATTTTTATCTGTTCTATCTGTTATCAGAATTTCGATAGCAGGTTAGATGTAGAGCTACAGGCTACTACTTTCTTATTTCTTATTGGCGCCATGTTGAATAGGACAAAAAAGAGCAACAATGACATATCACACACACTCTATCCCCCGTGCTCGTCGGGGCTAAAACCGAGACTGATAGCGACGATGGTCGTCGTTCCCGATGAACCTCCAAAGTCAAGGTGTTAGCGAGGGCTTCGTAGCACTGCGGTGCAGTATCGATATCGGTATTCGGGAGACCAGCGAGTAAGTGGCCCATATCCCTCGAGAAGGGGCTGGCAGCAAGCCCTGGACAAGCGGCTCTGCCCAGGTGAGACCGCATTTCCGTACTAATCGCGGAAATTGCATGGACGATTTCAAACCAAACAAACACTTTCTGGGCTCCTCGTCGAGGGCAACCAACAATCCGGGCCCTCAAAAGTGCAGGCTTCTCGAGAGAGGGGACGGCTCCAACGCAAGGCCATATTCAGAAACTTGGACGTGGGGTAGCTTCTATTCACAAGTGGGGATTTTGAATGCAGAACTTGGGGTAGTGGCGATTTTTTAGTATGTTGTTAAGCTTGGAGCCCTAATGAAAAATTCAAGTTAATGACCTCCTGGAGCATGCGCTCGAGTCGCCATCTTGGATTTTAGGTACACAAATTTGGTTTTTTGAACTTAAAAAAACTCAAAAAAAAACTCAAAAAAGTACAAAGTTAAAGAGAACAAAATTTTCTGCATTTTTTGTTCAAAAAAGTTTTTTGTAACACACATAAATGTTAGGAGTTACAACTCCATGAAGTTGCACTATTTGAAAAAAAAATGCGCGAACTTCATTTTGGTTAAGTTTTATTTTATTACTCTTATTATATATCATTATATTTTTACATAATTATAAAAATAACTAAAATGCACTTGAATATTATCATTTAACAGTATTATACCTTTCGTTAAAAGCGAAAAGTATATCGCATTTTTTTTTTAAATTTAAGAATAGTAAATTATGATTTTAGAGCGTTACAGAAATTAATTTCTACTTGGTTATTGTCGGCCTCCTGGTCGTAGATTTGGTCCGTAGCCTGAAAAATGTCGTTATCCTCGTTCTCGCTATCAATGCGGATTTCCGTCATATTCCCGCAAGATTCTCCGTTGCAGAAGCCACATGCAACCGAATAATTAAGTCCATCCTTTCGACAGCTGCATGCCCCACCACACCCCTTTTTGCAGTTACAAGATACCAATTTTAATAAGGAATCGGGAGCTGGTTTTTCCGCCATTACTATGGGAGTGAGCGACATGCTTCCAACCCCAGCCTCCGTACTCCGGCCTCGGCAATCTTTTCTGACTTGATCTTGTTGGTTGAAAATATCAATTATTTTATGAACCGCTCTGTTCTTTTCTATCAGCGTACAAAATTTAGTTTTTCCCTGATTGAATAGGGATGACGTAGTGTCACAACCATTGAAGGCAGCGCAGATAAGGGAGAGGGCTCCACTGGATCAGCACGGCCCAGTTCCGTTGCGACGGAGGGGCGCTCAGTCACTAGTTATCGGCCTCGAAGGGGGTTGGAGTGACTACCGGCGCCCTCAGAGGTCGAATAAGATGTCAGCGAGCTTTTGGCTCGTGTGGCGGTTCTTGCCTCCGACCAGGAGTCCCAACCGTCGGCATCACTAGGGGAGGGAGGAGGCTAGTACATCAGTGATTAACCTTCTTACAGAGCAATTTGCAGTACAGTAAAGGGGCGACCTGTCTAATAGGTCGTCAACTTGCTGTAAAGCAGACAGGCGATATCTCATACAAGAACCTTGGGTTTACAGGGGACGAGTAAGAGTCTGGGCCAGGCGAATGACTATCTTTATTGACAGGAGACAGTCAACTGAACCATAGGACTTGCATTTATGTCGATAGACAAATCAACTCTTATCTAATGGCTGGTTTTTTTTCAGGGATCTCGCGGTTCTAAGACTTCAGCTGAAAGATGGTCGAGGAAGGAACAGGCACTTGGTGGTCTGCTCAGCCTAACTCTCGTACAACTCCGAGGAGGCTCCACTAAACCAAGGAGGTGGCTGAGTTGGTAGAGTACTGTCGAAATAGTGGGCTCCCTTTTGTTGTTGACTTTGACACAAACGCACACCATGCTGGCGTGGGGTAGCACGGACACGAACTTGAGGAGCGAGTACTTGAAAACAACTGAAGGGAGCAGCGCCTGCTCTCGTCACAGCGCGGTTGGGCAGAAGGTTATTGATCTGACGTTGGGCTCCTTTTCAATAGCTCACGATAACGTAAGACCACCAAATATCAAATTTCGTCACAGGTGTGTCATTTTGGGGGCAGGATTTAGGCAAAAATAAATTCTAAATTGCAATGGGCAACTCAATATCTTCTGGGTGCGTCTTAAAATACTTAAAGAATCGCAATTTTGGGGTCTCTTTTTTGTTACAACAAATTAACGCCCTGGTGCTTGAATTAGTCATGTTCGGAAACATTTAGCCATTTTTTGATTTTTTGAAGTATAAAATTAGAGAGGATGGCAAAATGGTATATACAACATAGTATATAATGTTTTCGATTCGTTTTCGTACCCTACTCTAAACTTTCAATTCGCTATTCGCAACGATTATCTGTTTATGGATAAATTGCTTGTCGCGCAAAATGTGTAGTTCTCATATAGCATTAAACAACATTCTTTCCTTTATCTCAGCGACTTCTTTTAGCACTCCCTTGAATTTTAGGATTCAATGGCATTAGGCTGATAGAAAACGTCCCGTTTCTATAAAACGTTAATCATTTGAATTCGTTAAGGTCAAAGCTGCTCCTGCGATTAGGATGTGTTTCCAGGCTTTGGGACTACCGTTCAGGTTGGATGGAGGGTCGTTCACTATAACGCAATGGTGTCCTACAGAGGGCCAAAACCTGTCTGGTCACCATATGTAAAACCCATTTTTCCGACTTTTTTGTAAGACCGCAACACACTGCAGAGTTCATCTTTAGATTCCCGACAAGAGCCCTTCAGCAGAGGCGGTTACACTCTCTTTTGAATGGAAAAGTGTTTTACTTCAATTCTATATCTTGACTTTTTTTTAGGTTCTATAGTTTATGATAGGTTTTCAAATAAGACCTTACATAGCTACTCTAGAGAGGGATTATGATGCAGATTCAGATTTCACAAGCCTCCTTATATACCTACTAGGTGAATAAAATACCATTAATGATACATTCCCGATGCGATGCATTAGGCATCTGCTATAACAACTTCATTTTCTCCACACAATACCGTCAAACCGCCATCCTTGACTGACGCTCTGGCTATATAAGTGCCCTAAAAGGAATATTACTTTCACATTATTAAAGATTTAATATTACCAATGGAATATATTCAGGCACTGGGAGGTTTACCGAAGGTTGCCTAATATCACCTGCTGGTATAGGACACTGTACCTTACGACAGACTGGAACAGTAAGAGAAACGGGAAATGGACCGCCCCTAATCTCAAATGTGACAGTTGTATCGTTTTTGGCACCGACTTCCTTCACTGAAAGAATTATAGGTTTGACGTAGGGTTGAATGTAACCTGTAAGTAACACTTACAAAAAGTTGCAGTTAAAGACATGAACAGTCTTTGTCCCCTTATTAAGACACAGGAGCTTGTTTGGCAGTTATTCAAATTGAAGTTGGTGATGATGATGCTTACAATATCCGTAGCACCTGCGAAAAGTAAAACCAAATTAAGGCAATTTTCGTTGAAATACTTACATAAGTTAAAAGGAGTATCTGTAAGAACAGAAGAATGTAAAGCACTGAAAAGTGCGATCAACAAAAGGGATTTCGCAGCAGACATTGTTAATGTAAGGGAAATGTAAGGAAAACTGCTTTTATATGGATACAGGGGGGGGGGGGGCTAGTAGGCAGGCAAATTGGAAGGGGTAGTTACAGCTTTGCTACCACAAATATTTGCTACGTTCACCTTGGAAGTAAGTGAGCAAGAAGATATGGTGACGTTTTTAATTAGTTGTTTGATTGCAAAGTTGATTTTTTATTCAAATATTGAACTTTTTTGTATTACACGAGAGAGACTTACACAGACCGTGATATTTTTGTATAATCTACAAAGATAAAAGAATGTTATGTATACTTGCTTGTAACATAGTTAATCCGCGCTTATAATAAAAATTTAGTTCCTGTATTTCAACATATTATTATATTATTTAGTAATGGTAGGATATTTATACAAGAAGAAATATAATATTACTTGTTGCATTGTCCATATGGATTGTTATTATGAACAAGTAAATAACCAAACGTGCATATAGCAAAATTAGCATTGGTCTAAGAAATGTATAGAGGTTTTTAAAGATGACATTTGTTAGTCACTATTCGAGACTGATAGACCCTTTAAAAGGTCTTTAAGAGACTGCACATGTCTCTACGAGCAGTCTAGAAGCTTTTGTAGCCTTTAAAAGCCATAAAAATCCGCCAACAAACCTCAGGAATCACCAAAACGAGCATTTTAGGGTCTTTTAAAGATTTTAGAATTTGAAAGAGCCTTTAATAGTAGATTATATCACGAGTCAATAATGATAGCTATTATTCTCGAGGAGTATTTACGAACTAATCCCTGGTCGTTAATCCCTAAGGGAATAATGGATGGCATTATACCGAACAAACCATAAGTATAATACTCACATTATATATTAGTCGTAGATAAAAGCATATAAATCAAATGCTTTATCTCCATGAGCCCTACGGCCTTATAATGCCTTACGGACTTCCATCCCTTGTAAAATTCTGAGACTTCTCCGGATTTCAAAAATTGCCTAATTCATGAGTTATGAAAATTTCAAAGTAGGTATGTTAAATTGTAATTAGTCAAGTCCAGCGTTAAACTTCTGCAACTATTTGCATGATGCAGAATCCACCGTATTTAATGAGAGTCAGACTCAAATTAGATTTGATAGATAAATTTTCAGATTTACGTACATTAGAGGATATGAAAAATAAATACATGTTTGATGTCTATAATTTTTATTTGATCTTTGAAAACAATACAACACCAATGATAACAATGAACAACTTAACTCTAACATTAACATTGCATTAGTCTTCAACATTTTGGAAGAAATAAACGACAGAATAATGTACGAATGGCGAAGCGTCGAGGATCCTGTAAGCTAGGTACCCTCCGCTCTCCCCGTGTCCTTAAGAGTGGTGTTCCATGGTAGTGTGCCGTTTAACTGCCACCAGGTTGTCAGGTTCCCACCCAGATGGCAGCCTTGAGGAGCTTAGGAAAGCAGTCTTTTCCTGCACCTGTAGCCTCCCACAATTGTGGAAGGTTGCCAACCACCTCCTGGGAATGTTTTCCCGGTCGATCTCAGACAATTTTTTTTTCGGCCTCAAAAAAAGGCAGTGTATAACCTTCCTGCTTACCAGAAATTGACTACACCAAAATTTCTCGGGAAATCAATTTTGGTGCGTAGAATCCAAAACAATTAGTACTTTTAGCCAGTTCCAGGTATTACACGCAACAAAATTGCCTTTACGAGTGCTTGGCGAACTATACTTTGGAGCTATGTGGGTGCGTCCCGTTTTATTTTCCACGTAAGCGCTGTAGCTACTCACGTTTAATTATCTACCTCTCTCCTTTAGCAGTCTTCGAAGGAACCAGGGCATGTGGTCCTGCCAATAATGAATGTATGAGGTTTAGTAGACGTGAGTACGAGTCTAGGTTTATACACAAGGAGATGGTGACAAATTTCTGTTGACTGAATTAAATGGACGCAAACTACCAACAATAAAAAAAATCCCTAGCGAGAATAAATCCCTCCCACTGCGTTTGAGCTACAAAGAAGTAACAGATCGAAATCTGTCACCCTCTCCCAGTCAATTAGATATGGGACCAATACGCATCAGTTGTAGTTAAATACATGGAAATTGAAAGCAGCAAAAATTCCTCTCAAAGGTGCGCATGTTTACCACCGTGCGTCTCGCTCTCCTACGATGTCGAAACATCTTACACTGATTGGAACTGGAAAGGAAAGGTTAAGGCACTATACAACAACATTTCCTACGGGTAAGTTACATTTTCATAACAAACTCGCAAGCATCCCCTTTGTTTCAGTGTGCACTTTTCAAGGTTAAGCGTTTATTACAAAGATTTGCAGTTTTTGAGCTGCATGAGGAGCGAGATGTTTAGTGCGTTCGACTTTGCTTCCAAAGTGGGCGGTCTACTTGGATTATTCATTGGATTCTCGATTACGTCGGCAATTGAAATCGTGTACTTTGGTACGCTTCGAGTTGGTTTTAACATAAGAAGGCACGGCATCGGCGCTTGGTTTGGAGAAACGAAACGTATGAAGGCCCACTAAAGACCGCAGGCACTATTTATTGATTTTGAGCACATTGATTTTTGCCTTTTATGGGCGTTTCCCGAGTAAAAAATATGAATTTTAGGATACCTACTGTAATGTGTTTGAAGCACTAGAATTTTTCTGCGATTTTGAAATTAAGAAGTTCTTGAATTTCTGTGATTTTTATTAATTCTGTTTAGGTTTTCGAATTAACGCGTATGAATTTTTCCCCCATTTTGAAAATCGCATAGTCGTCTTTAATGTTACGATTTGTAATGAGCTGCTACCCGTTAGTAATGCTTGAACCCCTATATCTTAGAGAAATATACTGAATTGTATTTAAATTTTAAAACAGCCGAGTTTAAAAAAAATTAAATTCTGACAAATATGTGATCATTTTCATATCCAACATTATTAGCCTCTTCAAAAAACATGCCCTTGGCACGATTATGGCATTGAGCGCGAGTATACCATCCTTTTGAGAGAGAGAGAGAGCAAGAAAGAAAGCAACATTTTTTCATCAACATAATCACCTTCAAGAGCTACACAATCATTCCAACGCTTTTCGACCTTTTCGATAACATGCTTGTAAAGCGACTTGTACCGTCAGGTAATTTTCTTGAAAATAACGTCACTTTTATGCTGTTATACACGATTGTAAGGACAGTCGTAGTCGAACCAAATTTTTCCTATACTAGTGTAAAGTTATTCGAATAATTGATTCTTTTGAGTATTATTTACCGTTTTAGTATACGATTAACCTTCCGTGTCAGACGTTAGCATTGCTACTACGCAATACTTTTTGTGCAGTGCGATTTACTAACACTTTTATTTTTTTGTCTGTGTTGTTTTTTGTTACAAAAAAGGTTGAACACGCCCCTCTGACCTCAAAAGGTTGCGACCCGAATTTCCTAGGTAAATTTTGTTATTTTCGTCGATTTCCTTGCTTTAACGTTTGATTACACATTAGCTTTCGAGACAATCGAATTGTAATTATTAGGTACATTTGCTTGAGATTCACTTAAAAATTCTAAATCCGTTGTTTCTGCGGAAGCCTGGTTTGATATTAATATTTCCCCGACTGCGTGTTGATCCCATTTTTACTAAAAATTAATTTAAATTCAAATAAAGAACTATGACAGAGAATAATTCAAGAATGTCGAAATATTGCAAAACCAACATTTGAAAAGGTTCGACAAGAGTTTGAGAATAGATTATACTACTGTTTTACCAATAACGGAAACCATTTTGAACATTTATTGAAATGGAACTGTTTGAAATTATGGATTCTACAGGCCACATTCTATAAGAATTTTTTTTTTCCGCTCGATCTGAGACAATTTTTTTTTTCGGGCCTCAAAAAAGGCAGTGTATAACCTTCCTTTTTTACCAAAAATCGACTACACCAAAATTTCTCGGGAAAACACTTTTTCTTATTAATTTTGGTGCGTAGAATCCAAAACAATTCGTACTTTTTCTATTAGACTTCTCAATCAAAAGTTATGGACTAGAAACCAAATTCGAATTCAAAGTGCTGTAACTTTTGATCTAGCAGCTCAATCTTGGAACTGCTTGAAATTATGGATTCTACAGGCCACATTCTATAAGAAAATTTTTTTTCCGGGTCGATCTGGGATAATTTCTTTTCGGGCCTTAAAAAAGGCAGTTTATAACCTTCCTTTTTTACCAAAAATCGACTACACCAAAATTTCTCGGGAAAACACTTTTTCTTATTAATTTTGGTGTGTAGAATCCACAACAATTCGTACTTTTTCGATTAAACTTCTCAATCAAAAGTTATGGACTAGAAACCAATTTCGAAAGAAAATTCAAAGTGTCTGAACTTTTGATCTAATAGCCCAATCATGGACATATGTAGGTTCGTAATGTCCCAAATTTCCGCCGCATCGCTATGAAATACCGTAACTTAATTGTCATAAGTAGTTATACACTAATGAGGCCTTCTAATGAACCTAACTACTATTTATTCACTTAATTAGGTATTTGTCGGAATTACTGGTGTAGTAAGAAAAAGAGAAATTGGTAAATTATTTTGTATTCGAAACCAACAGCTATAGTGTCACTGATCAATGTAAACCTCATTTCCTTGAAAACAAGATCCAAAGTATGCAATTATGACGTGCAGCTATTTATAATTGCATCTTTCGATAAATATGCAAATTTTATCCTAACATAAAGTTATTCATAGACGTACCTTACGCATTGCATAATTTATTTAGAATCACTTTCGTGCAATAAAACGATGGATGATCAACAAGGCGCTAAACCGTAAGTATCTCTCCCCTCATCAATCATTAAATTTAAAATTTTGCAGAGAGTTGGAGACGATAGTCTTCAGAAGTAAGGTGTTCAAGCCGAGGAACTCGGTGTTTACGGATCTCTTCGAGAATGACCACATGCGAAGCGTGTACAACCTCGGGATGGCGCTGTGTATTGGTACGATTGCTTATTCGTCGTTTCACGATTACTACCACAAGGGATGGTGAGTTTTCATCTTATAGAATTGAGGTCATTACAATTGCCCACAGTGTATACGTTAGCATTCCGCTGATCATCAACGCGTTTGCACAGTTGGATATCCTGATACTAATTTGGTTTGGTATGTTCTTCTCCACCTTGGTAGTTTACTACGGCTTTAAATACTGGGCGAACGGTACAAACGAACTTCAACTGATGGGGGGATATACTGCTCTTTGGGATGTGCCATGGACAATTATTTTGTTGCTATATTTCGGTTGCTTACTGTATTTCCCTCCCTACGCCGTTATTAAATACAACTTGGGCGTGCTCTCAACCCTAGCAATCCTAATGGAACAGGTAGATTTCGCCTGCAAATCATCACCTACTATCATCTCACTTACAGCTAAGGTTCGTTATGAAAATGTACGCGTTCGTCAGGAGTAACTGCCCGAAATACCTAAAGGGAGGGCTAAAGGAAAAATTAAAGATCGTCCATCCCACGTTCTCTCATTATTTATACTTTTGGTTTGCACCCACGTTGGTCTATCAGGATAATTATCCCAGGTGGATTATGGGTAACCGTCCAAAGTATAATTGAGATCCCTTTCAGAGCAAATCGTAGCATCAGATGGGGTACAATAGCCGGCTGGTTATTACAACAAGGCATTGGAACGCTCGCCTCGGCGATCATATGGGAAAACAGCTACAAACCGGGCCTGATGGAGTACGGCTTGAAGCCATTTACCACCATGGAGGTCATACTGGTGGGCGTAAAAAATGCGCACTTAGGCCTAATGATCATGTTACTCGCCTTCTACTACTCGTACCACTGCTACTTTAACATTTGGGCCGAGCTGCTCGGATTTGAAGATCGTCTGTTTTACTCCGTAAGTATTTAGCATGTCTGGGGAAGTGGGTGATTGTAGTGGTCTTGTAGGACTGGTGGATCTCCTCGTCTTTGGAACGATTTCTGCGCTCGTGGAGCATCATTATGCACGACTGGCTCTACCTGTACCTCTACAAGGACGTTTACGAATTCGTTTTTCCGAACCGAAAGCTTCTCTCCAAGATCATGGTGTATGTGCTATTGGCCGTGGGCCACGACTATATCATATGTTTTTCGTGCAGGATTTATTTACCTTTGCATTGTATTTTGTACACAGTTACAGTTATCTTACTGAATACCGGTAATGTTAGGTGTGGTCAGTTTGGAAACGTACTCTTGTGGTTAGGTTATACGTCTCTAGTGACAACACTTTTTACCATTTTTACACTTGAATACTATGCACGCCAAAACTGTCCGTTGAAGGAGGGTGATGTGTTTTCACATTTGGTACCCCGATTCTTACAGTGTCAGATGTAGCTTTCTAGTCATTTGATCAGTAAATACACTTAAACAACGACTTTGTACTTTAGTAACCAAACAATCTCTGTCTTATTCCTGTCTTCCAAGAACACCAATTCTAATTTTAGCATAACTAGCATTTTTTAAATGCAAGGGATTTAAAAAAAATTTGGGATTGGTAGTACCAAAAGATATTAACCAAGAAATAAATTAGAGGTCACAATTTTGGAAGATAATCCTCATGTAGGCGTTAAAAAAATTAGGAAGCAGCTAAGAATAAGCAGTCAAATTTGATTAAGCTCTTATCAAATTCCAAAGAGATTGAACCAAAAAGACATGTTAACGCTGGGAGAGAAATTAAAAATAGATAACGTGTTTAGTTCATAAATAAAGACTATTATTGTTTGTTCAAGATAGAATACGTTAAACAATCGCTTCTCTTAATAAATCCCCCTGAAAGAAACGGTAGCCGTATGCCTCCTTGCCTTTATGGTCCAGTGCCGCCTCTTCCACTTACAGTTGCAACTGTGAACAAGTTAGTAACTGAAGACAACCAAACCCAGCACAGGGCTAGGTCGAACATGATGTTAGATTGTCACCATGCGAAAGAAGTCTTCAAAAGACTATCTCTTAGTCTTTGCACAGGGTTATCAAGAAAGAACCTGTGCTTACTCGTGGGCAGACTTTCTGGGCATTGAAAACTAAATAAACACATGCACAGAATCACCACCTTGTAGAGGATGTTACATAGACGATCAGTCCAACTGAGACGATCCATGTTGGGGGGTATCCTCGCCGGACGTAGTTACGATTAGAGCCGTCTCCCCTTCCAGCAACCGTAGGGTTATCTCACGTGTGAAATGGCTTGAGTGACGTTGAGAGGTCGGACGACTCTAGTCAGAAATCAGGAAATGTTGAATCGACATGGCTATGATGGCGATGCATTGAAATGAATTTTCTTTGTCATTTATCTCATTCCGTAAAAATTCAATATGGCGTCCATAAAAATAAGTAAGATTCAAATTCTCTGTAGGAAGGTGCTAATGGGAACCGTCCATTTCCGACCGTTGAAGCTACGGAAAATAAAAACGAAATTTGACTTTTGAGTGACCTTATCTTTAAAAAATCTCTGTCTCCCAATGTTGTCTTAAATTATAAAGATTTAAAAGTAAAAACCTTATAATGGAATTTTCCAAAAAAAAGCTATTGTGTTAAATCTGCGAACTTTCTGCGCTACTATTCTCACAAAATGAATAACAACGATACAAAGGGCTATAGTTTGGTCCAAACGTCTGGAACAAACCGCATTATCCTAAATCTCACATTAATAATGCAGATGGCACTGTATTCTGAAATGCAGGTTTTCAACTTTTAGACATTTTAGTGCCTTAGTTTAAATTGCAATTGTACGTGGGAGTTTTTTGCTATTTTTACAAACAGGTAAGTGGCGATCAAGTTCCTTCGTCAAAGCACAGAAGTAGTTGTGCCATCTTTAGTTCTGCACTATCTAACGACCCGCTACTAGGCATCATCAAGATGTTGATCTACGTACTGATTATAAGCGTAGCTCTACTGTATTACCTCCTCTGCAAACCTCTCAAGTACTGGGAAAACAGAAATGTGCCCCACATCAAACCACGTCCTTTAGTGGGGAACTTCGGACCTCTCATTGCAGGACAATGCTCCTTCACGGAAATGACGCAAAGGATCTACAACTCGCACCCGAACCATAGGTAACCTAATTACAGTTTTGCGAAAAACCGACACCATAGCTTTAGGTACTTCGGGTTCTACCAATTCCTGTTACCCACACTGATCGCAAGGGATCCCGAACTGATAAGGAAGATCTGCGTAAAAGGACATGATGTATTTCCGCAACGTCGAAGCGTGCTTTTGGAGAAGGTAGATCCCCTGCTGGCTAGAAGTCTAGCGTTCATGAAAGGGGGCGAAAAGTGGAACACACTGCGGACAACGTTGAGTCCGACGTTTACCGGCAACAAAATGAGGATCATTTTTGATCTGATTCAGGATTGTGCGGACCAGTTTGTTGAACACTTCCGTAACAAAGGCGAACTGGTTGAGTTGGAAATGAAGGATCATTTTACACGTTACGCGCATGACGTTATTGCGAGTACGACCTTTGGTGTTGTTTCGAATTCCTTAAGGGATCGGGACAATGAGTTTTATACTATGGGTCTAAGGGCTTCAGCGTTATCTCCTTTCAGGGGGTTAAAACTGTTTATACAAAGCTTCAGTCCGATGATGTCTCAGGTAAAATCCCTCAGTATTTGAGCTTTAATTTATATTGTCCTTAGATACTAAGCCTAAGTGTGGTCCCAAAAGTAGTAGAAGACTATTTTGTGAGCTTTCTAAGACGCATCATGGCGGAACGAAAGGACGGGGGAAAATTTCGTTTGGATATGTTACACTTGCTAATGGAAGCTAAAAGTGGCATACTCAAGGATGACGCAAATGACGCGGACACGGGGTTTCTTGCAGTGCAAAAGTTTGCGTTGCCCAAAATACAAACCACAAATAAACCTCGTATCACAGACGAAGACATCGCCTCCCAAGCATTCATATTTTTCATGGCGGGATACGACACCACTTCCACGGTAATGTCCTTCGCCACCTACGAGTTAGCTGTCAACGTGCACATTCAACAAAAACTTCAACGTGAAATCGATGCAACTTTAGAAAGCTGTAACGGAAAACTAACCTACGAAGCTCTGATGGAAATGGCATATTTGGAACAAATAGTCTGTGGTAAGTCACCGCATTTATCAAAGTGCCGCTAAATTTAAATTTGCCCAGAAACTCTTCGCAAATGGCCTCCAGTTCCACTCACCGATAGGTGCGCCGAAAAACCGTTTACGATAGAGGCCCAGCTCGATCAAGAGGAAACCGTTCACTTTGAAAAGGGTACCATATGCTGGATTCCAATTTTTCCAATCCACAGGGATCCGAAGTACTACCCCAATCCTGAAGTGTTCGACCCAGAAAGGTTTCACAAGGACAATCTCAAGAACATTACTCCGAATACATTTTTACCGTTTGGGGTCGGAGTGAGAAATTGTATAGGTAAGTCGGCCTCAATTCTCTAATAGGACCGACGTTTACGTTTTTAGGTTTCCGTTTTGCTCTACTGGAGATAAAACTAATCCTTTTCAAGATACTGAGTAGCTTCGACGTCGTTGTGACGGATAAAACCCAGATACCTCTCGTAATGAGTAAGATGCGCGTATTTTTGGCTGGTCAAAATGGCGTTTGGCTTGGACTGAAACCAAGAAACAATGGTGACCTCTGATTGTATGTTACTAATTGTCGTGATTTTTTGAGTAAAGTTTAGCACCACCTAGCGCTCAAGGTTGATTCAAAACTTCAACCACTTGTACGTTTAAAACCGAGAACCAAGCCTGCAGGAAGTTTTCCTTCTCTGGTCATTAGATTGGCCCAGCTCTTGCTCCATTGTCAAAAACTATCAACCAATAAACATTTTGAGTTGCTCTATTATGATCTATTGAATACATGCCAACTGTTTATTTTTTTCCAGCAGTACCGCACATTTGCTGTTAGTCATTAGTTAAGACTAGACGATTATACAGCGTATTTACCTGTATGCTTGTGCTCATCAATTGTTTGGAGTTTTGAATGATGGTTAAAACCTAATTAATAAACTGGTTCCAAATTAATATTCAATACAGTGGAAGATTGGTTTTTTATTCCTGTGCATAAACAAATTCTCGGGCCCATTCTCGAGAATCTAATGCCGATTTGCCTGTGTTCGAAATAAATACGATCAACTTTATATCAAAACCAGACGAAACCCGAAGACCAACGTTACTTTTGAATAGAGAAGTGGAATTTTAACACCCTGTAGATAGACTTATGTTTACGTGAACTTTTAGTCATAAAATAAGCCAAAGAATGATCTCTTTCCGTATTTGCATCATATTTAGGAACACCCTGTATAAAGATATCCATTCAACAAGAAGCTGACCTTACCAGGGCCGAGTGGTGCAGAATGTTCAGCTGTGTTATCACGAAGCGATCTGTTTCCACATTGTCCAAGGATATATGATGTATTCCTTTGGTTGGATTAAAATTTTGTTTAGCATTCAGAGGTGTGAAACCAGGAATGATGCGTGATCACGAGATAAGAATTGCAATTTTTTGGTGTTTCCTTTTATGAACCAAACATATATTTTAGATCCAGGAACGTGTAAAGAAAAATTGAATTGGATCGCCTTCTTTCCTAATAAATTTAATGTACATGTGTGTTTATTCGAGGTCAATCAAACCAGAGCATCCGGTTTTGAGTTTCAAATTTTAAAAGAAGATAGAAGGCCAAGTTTCCACAAGGTAAGGAGGTATACATTTCTTTAAATAAAAAATTATTGTTACAGTGACATTTTTGCCAGTGCGGTAGAGGTTCCATTTTATTTAGTGTAAATTATATGGCCCAGTACTTGCGTTCCCTCTTTGGAAGGGCGGGAAAAGGTGGCATTACTTGCGACTACTGCCGTTGAGCGCCGGAGTTATAGTAGTCTCGACGTCGCTTTGAAGCTACATTAACTTCTTCTTTTTAAGCTAGGTTATCTCAAACGCCAAATTGGATTGTTTAGGCTCTAAAAGCCGCTGACTGACTAATCACAAATCTCTCGCATTGACTCCCCGGATGCGATAACGAGACACTCTTCGCCTTGACTGACAAAATGTGAATCTCTTACTAGCTCCATGGCTCCTGGTTGGCTGCCAAAACCAGAATGAATTATTTCGTAAAAAGCTCATCCCCTCTCTCTATACTAAGGTAAGTGAAAACGCCTATTCCATGATGGAAAGCAATGGCTGCGATACTTTATTAATTTTCATTGGTTCGCCAACTGTAGGGCTCTCTCCAGAAAACGCCGATACAGCAGAAGTTTATTTATTTTTTCCCAATGAAGCTTAATTTGTAGTGTATGAAATGTAACCTTATACGACCTCTTTTTATCGTGTAAATCGAAACAAGGTTTCGTCATGGGGCGCCAAATACGGTTTAAAAAAAAACACGTAAATGGCGCATATAATAAATAATTCTCGATGAACTACAATCAACAAAATAAAAATTTGAACTTGAAATAACGAATATTTGTTTGGTTGAAACCTTGACTTCTTTTACTTGGAAAATTCTTCTTCCGCATATTTCAATGAAAATGAGCCTGGCGTTTTCTATCTATCTAATTGTAATTGGAACATTATTTGTGAATACCGGAGAAAGAAGATGTAGGAAGGGGCTAGCTGGTTCGCGACGGTTGGAAAAAGTACATACAAATTTTAGCCAATATTGGGATTTTCCATAGTAGCGAATGTCGGAAGTGTACGTTACAATTGATCTGTTTGAGCCAGCTGGGCAGGTGTAGTTGACCGCATGCCATTGCACACGGACTTATTTATTTGGCGCCCAACGTGGGGCCACCGCAATATTAATGTCTTTTGCTTTTATTTGAATATGTAGAACCTTCTAATCAAAAATTTTATGGCGTTTTAATAGAAAAAAGAACTGTATGAAATAAAATGTTATACATTATTTGTACGTTAAATCGGTTTGCGTTACTAGTTTCACTCGATGACATAGACCACGAAACAAAAAACAATATGCCATTTTCCAAGCTATCTACTAAAAAATCTATTATGTTAAATCTGTGAACATTCTACGCTACGATTCTCACAAAATGAATAGCAACGATGTAAGGGATCACAATTTGACCAGAACGTCATAATCTAGAAAAAACAGATTATCCAAAATCTCACATTAATCGTGTAGATGGTATTGTATTTAGAGATGAAGACCTTCAAATTTAAGGCATAGTATATTGCTATAAATTGTAGAGGTGCGCACTCATTTTTAGTATTTTTACAAAAACGTAATTGACGAGCCTGCTACTGGGCACCATCAAGATGCTGACCTACGCATTGATTATTATGAGCGTAGCTCTGCTGTATTACTTCATGTGGAAACATCTCAAGTATTGGGAAAATAGAAACGTGCCGCATCTCAAACCACATCCTTTGGTGGGCAACTTCGGACCTCTCCTCGCGGGGAAATGCTCCTTCACGGAAATGACGCAAAGGATCTACGACTCGCACCCGAACCATAGGTAACCTAACCACAGGTTTGCAAACGATCGACACCTCAGCTTTAGGTACTTCGGATTCTACCAACTCGTGCTACCGGTACTTATGGCAAGAGATCCCGAACTGATAAGGAAGATCTGTGTGAAAGGCCATGACGTATTTCCTCACCATCGAAGCGTACTTTTGGATGAGGTAGATCCCCTCCTGGCTAAAAGCATCGCGTTCATGAAAGGGGGCGAAAAATGGCACATGCTGCGGGCAACGTTGAGTCCAACATTTACCGGCAACAAAATGAGGCTCATGTTTGACATGATCCAGGATTGTGCGGATCAGTTTGTTGAATACTTCCGAAACAAAGGTGAACTGGTTGAGGTTGAAATGAAGGATAGCTTTACACGTTTCACGCATGACGTTATTGCGAGTACGACCTTTGGTGTCGTTTCGAATTCTTTAAAGGATCGGGACAATGAGTTTTATACTATGGGTCTAAGGGCTTCGGAGTTAACGCCTTTCAAAGGGTTAAAACTGTTTTTGCAAAGCTTCAGTCCGGTAGTGTCTCAGGTAAAAATGCGTGGTTCACTACATATTTAGGCTTTTACTTGTATTAATTGTCCTTAGATACTAAGCTTAAGGGTGATTTCAAAGGTAGTAGAAGACTATTTTCTGAGTTTTCTAAGACGCATCATGGCGGAACGAAGAGACGGGGGAAAGTTTCGGGTGGATATGTTACACTTGCTAATGGAAGCCAAGAGTGGTACGCTCAAGGATGACCCAAATGACGCGAACATCGGGTTCCTTTCAGTGGAAAAGTTCGCGTTGCCCAAAATACAAACCACAAATAAACCTCGTATCACAGACGAAGACATCGCCGCCCAAGCATTCGCATTTTTCATGGCGGGATACGACACTCCTTCTACGGCAATGTCCTTCGCCACCTACGAGCTAGCTGTCAACGTGCCCATCCAAAAACATCTTCAACGTGAAATCGATGCAACTTTAGAAAGCTGTAACGGAAAACTAACTTACGAAGCCCTAATGGGAATGGCATATTTGGAACAAGTAGTCTGTGGTAAGTCACCGCGTTTACCACAATGCCGCTGAGTTTGAATTTATCCAGAAACTCTTCGAAAATGGCCCCCAGTTCCAGTCACCGACAGGTGTGCCGAAACACCTTTTACGGTAGAAGCCGAGTCCGACCAAGGGAAGCCGGTTCACTTTGAAAAGGGTACCATATTTTGGATTCCAATTTTTCCAATCCACAGAGATCCAATGTACTACCCCAACCCCGAAATGTTCGACCCGGAAAGGTTTCACAAGGACAATATCAAGAACATTAAACGAAATACTTTTCTTCCGTTTGGGCTAGGGGTGAGAAATTGTATAGGTAAGTTGGTGTAAATTCTCTAATAGGACCGACTGATACGTTTTTAGGTTTCCGCTTTGCTCTTCTGGAGATAAAACTAATACTTTTCAAGATATTGAGTAGCTTTGACGTTGTTGTGACGGATAAAACTCAGATTCCGCTCGTAATGAGCAAGAAGCGCGTATTTTTGGCCGGTCAAGATGGCGTTTGGCTTGGACTAAAGCCAAGAAACAATAGTGACCTCTGATTATATGACACAGTTCCCAGCTCCCTGTGTTCCTGAACGTAGGCAACCCAACATACATAGGTTGTCTTGAAGAACAGGAGGTTGTGTAGAAGCGAAGTTTTACTTAGGTTACGAAGAGGCTAAGGGTAGCCTGTAACTGCTAGGACTGTTACAGGATTGACTGAACTCAAATAGATACATATAGGACTTTAGTCGATTAATTGCCGTTTGCACCGCCTGCCAAATTTGCCTGTCCGATAAATAAAGCACATTCTTTAAAATGTGTAATACCTTAATAACACAAACTCAGAGGAGATTTAAATATTTACTCCTCTAAGTACAGGCTTTCAAGGCTGTTAATGAGCCCTTGACGTACTTTATTAAAAAAGCCTTAAGGATTTCAGATTCAAAGGGTTTAGCAATTTCTAAAGGTTGTAGTGTACTTAACCCCCGGGTTCTACGCTAACTTCACGCTACAAAAACACGGAAATAAAGTCAACCCGGCAACGTTTAAAAATGGCCACCAGAATGACTGCTCCCTCCAAAACTAAACAAGATCTCGCTTAAATTTAAAAAGTGGCACGTGATCAAACATCTAAGGCAGGACTCCCTTACGTTAGTTGTAGACAACGCTTGGACCTGAAGCACAGTAGGGAAGGAACGTAAAATAAAAAGTATGTTTAATAATGATCGCAATTATTATTGGTTGTAAAAGCTCGGAAATTTAAGTCGAAATAAATAGGCTGGGGGAAAAAAAGAACTTACCAATAAAAAAACCCAGCCGTCAAATTAATATTAAATTGTGTAGTAAAATTAATTGTTTTGTAATGATGTGAATACGTAACATAAAATTATAACAACACAAAAAGTAGCAGGTAAACTTCAAGAGGTAATATACAGGGTGATTCCTATAGTACCTGCCACCGTTTGGGAGCGTGTAGGTGGTGCGTAGGGGAGTATTTTGATATAGGACACTTGGGGTCGGAAATCTAAAATAAGGGTGCCAGAGCCAAATTTACCTTCTGGAATTTCGCGCCTGTAGGTAGGCAACCCAACCCGCCGGCGGTGCACACGGAGCGATCTCAGGCGGCGATGTGTGGCTGACACTTGATCAGAATTTTGTTTAAACCCACGAAATCCCGTCTGCAACGACGCGTATTAAGTGAATAAACACTATGGCACGTTTTACTAACACGGAATACGCGGACATGCACTTCATGTACGGATTGGCAAATGGTAACGCACGAGCTGCACGACGAGCGTACGCTGAGCGGTATCCAAACCGTCAGTTACCCTGCAGACAGGTCTTTCAAGAAGTTCACTTCCGACTGTGCGGGACAGGGCAATTGCAGGTAAGCTGACGGAGGCTTAACTTTACACACAGATTCGTGATGCACATCGATACTTGGGTCATTTAAGCACCCATTTCGAAAAGTTTGTTTGTTTACACCGACCTCCTCCTATTTCGCAGCCCACTAGCGCCCGTGATCGCGATCGCCCGTTGGTAATTGCCTTAGAGGAGGATGTGTTGGAACGTTTCGAGGCAAACCCGCGTACTAGCACTCGACTTGTAGCAGATCAGGTGGGTTGTAGTCAACACACAGTGTGGAACATCGCCAACAACAACAATTTACACCCCTATAAGTTTAAGAAAGTGCAAGAGTTACGGCCGGGTGACCATGAAAGGAGGCTGGAATTCTGCAACTTAGTCGTCCAGGAGGAAGAAGCTAATCCGAACTTCTGAGGAGCGTGCTAGTTACTGACGAGAAAGGATTCTCAAGAGAGGGGACCTTCAATCCTCGTAACAGCCACTACTGGGCGGAGCACAATCCTCATGAAACGTTTACGCGAGGATACCAGGACAAGTTTTCTTTAAACGTTTGGGCTGGCATCCTGGGGAACAACCTACTGGGGCCTTACATCCTCCCTCCGCGTCTAAATGCCCATAATTACCTGATTTTCCTGCGCGAGGTGCTACCAGAACTTTTAATGGATGTTCCAGTGAACTTGTACTGGGACCGCTGGTTCCAGCACGATGGGTGCCCTGCTCACTACGGGCGGCAGGTGAGGGAACACTTGGACCAAACCTATCCGGACAGATGGATCGGCCGTGGAGGTGCGGTGGAGTGGCCTGCCCGCTCGCCCGACATCACCCCATTAGATTTTTACTTGTGGGGTGTGATGGAAGCGCACGTCTACGAGACTCCCGTCGAATCCGAAGAGGACTTAATTGCGCGCGTGGTCATGGCCGGAGAGGCTGTTCGCCAGGACATAGGAGTCTTCACGCGAGTTCGAGGGGAGTGGTTGGCTAGATGTAGGAAGTGCATTGAGAACAACGGTGGCCACGTTGAACACTTGTAAACGTTATTGCTTTTGACTGTCGTTTTCCCTCCTTCCCTCCCATGTCACTTCCTCGCGCTAACTCGCTCTGCATCGCTCCGCGCGAAACGTCGGTCGGTTGGGTTGCCTACATACAGGCGTGAAATTCCAGAAGATAAATTTGGTTCTGGCGCCCTTATTTTGGATTTCCGACCCCAAGTGTCCTATATGAAAAGACTTCCCCTAGGCAACCCCTATACGCTCCCAAACGGTGGCAGGTACTATAGGAATCACCCTGTATAGATTAAAAACAAGTTTTGGGAACTATGGGTCAGGAAAGCAGGTACCAAGATTTTAAGAAAGGGTGAAATACACAGGATGTGACTCATCTTTGGTGCAATAAAGTCCTTTTGTTAAAAGCAAAATGGACAATTACTTGGCCTTGTCGGCAAATTTAACTAAAAACAAAGTATTTGGAAATTACGAATCGTAACTCATTTATCGCACGTAGATTCTAAACTGAAGAGCTTTGATTAGCGTAATCCCGCTCCCGGAATATGGGTAACCCGCCCCTGGTTTCCGGGTTTCCAGCCTACATTTGAATGTCGAAAACTATCACGGAATTAGGTGTCGTACTTCAAATGGTTACAGTTTTTACCACCCCCGTGACTACTTCATTCACGGAGGAAATTGTTAGTAACAAACAACAAGTCAGTACATACATCAAACGAATCGGTAATTTCCACATATTAAAATAAAATTATCAAATCTTACATGAATGTAACTTCAGGGACAAGACCAAGTAATCAACATCAATAAACATAAATTAAGCAAGCATTACACCTAAAACGTAAACAATTACAAACAATAGCATAACGGTATCACACATATGATTCTGCATTGCGGTTAAACCAAGTAAATTTCAAAAACAAAGATTCAAACACACACAAATATAAAATGCGGCATACAAGACACAAATAAGATATAAAGAAATGCAATAATTACTACCTGCGTTAAATAACACAAAATAACAACAAACATTTATGGAGCGACGCGTTCACGTAACCCCCGTTCGTGGATTTAGTTGGCGCAGGCAGCTTTTTCCCACCTAGAAACTGCATGGTTGCCAACTCTCAAAAATGTATGTATCGGCGTAAGCTGTATATATATAGGGTGGAACCTTCCAAGGTATACATCTAATCTCTATATCTTTTTTTTAAGGTTAATTCAAATGTTGTAATGATACTTCAACACTTTTCTTATACTGCTTATACGGCGCTTCCAGCATTCTAGAGCTGCACAGAAGTTTGTTACATAGTAGTTTGATTATTATTTCAGTAAATAATAAATAAATAAATTATCAATGAAATAAATAACATGGGGAAAAAGTCGACTTCGGGCTGGTAACAAGTGTAGAGGTGTTTTTTGAGAGAGTTGTTTAAGTAAAGAAATCTTAACTTTAAAACGCGAGGCGGGTCCTGGCATAATTCAAACTTATATTCGAAACTGAAGCGGAAGTTGTCTTTATCAAGATACAAATAGCGCGCGGGGATCTAATTAAACTGTGAAAAGGTCAAGACAGTGTAGGAATCTCCAACCGACAGAGGATAAGCAAAAGATTGATACGGAACTAATATTCAGACCTACGTTAACTAACATTACAACAACGAATATGTCGTAGCAAAAGTATAAATTAATTTATTCAATTCCAAGTGCAATTTTCAACAATCTTGACAAAACGCAACTCCCAGATGAAGCATCTTGAAAAGAAAGAAAAAAATGAAAACCACTGAACAAATATTTAAATTATAGTAAGTCCCAACAAAGAAGTTGAAGCTGAAAATTCGCTCCATTTTTTAAGAAAATAAAAACTGTCAATATTTAAATCAAAGCTGGGTCCATCACCACCTCTAAAAATTGATCAAAGATTTATGGCGTTGAAGTGTTTTCTCATATTTTGAACTTCAATGGTTAATTCAGGGATCAACAATAAAAAAATGTATTAATTTTCGGAAATTTTACATATAAAATCTTAAATATAAACAGTAGATCCATATCCATCCCTCTTTGGGCCTAAAGAACCAGGTTTCTGAAGACGATAAACCGCAAAGGCTTAATTTTAGGAAACAAACGGTTGTTAGTAATTCATTTTGTATAATCTCGTAAACACCCAATCGCGAAAGAACTTTGATAACCTTACAGTTATAACTCGAGTTGTTTACACGCAATCATATTAATCGTGAAATGTCGCTGAAGAAAGAAAGTAGGAACACTGGCAAGAAGACTGTCCAATTTCAAGACACAAACAACCAGTGAGGAAACCGAGTGTGTTAATTGCAAAAGTTAATATTTCCTTCCAGAGTAGTCTACGAAAAAGGCCCGCGGGCAAGAATTTTTAAAGCACGAGAGTCGCTGTTAACTGACCTATTCAAGGATGGCAACGCTAGGTCCTTGTACAATGTATTTCCTGGGATATTCTGTTTGACCATGGTCTATTCCGCTTTGAAGGATTACCAGCGCGAAGGAAGGCAACGCGCCGAAATTTGTCCTTTGGAAACTATAAAACCTGTTGTAGGTTCTATCTTGGTACCAGGCTGATACGTAGCGCTTTTGCCAAGCTTGATGTAGCCATGGTGATTTGGTTGTGCATGTTTGCGTCGTCTTTAATGGTTTACTTTATCTTTGCGCTTTGGGTGCGTGGGCGCCGGAAAATAGAATGGAAGGGTGAGTGCTTTTCGGCAGTGAGAATCACTTCAGTTTAGCTTTCAGGTACATGGGATAGACTGTTTGGTTTGGTTTACGGTTTGTATGTGCTGGTGTCACTGCATCTTGTTGCAATTTGGGCTGTGATGAACAATTTGGGCCCTGCGACATGTCTCGCGATCATGTTGGAGATGGTGAGGACGCCGTAGGAATATCGCAACCGACTCACTTAACATTTCAGACGCGGCTGTTAATGAAATCCCATGCTTTTGTCCGCAGCAATAGTCCCAAGTTTTTGGAAAACAAACAGGGAGCTTTTCCTTCCGTGTCGCATTATCTCTACTTTTTATTCGCACCGACGCTGATTTACAGCGATAGCTATCCCAGGCATGGGGAAGTATTGGAAGTGAAACGTTCACCGTCATTACAGTTTTAGAACCAATCGGATACGCTGGGGTCGCGTTGTCACAAGTTTTGCAGAAGTAATAGCGATTGTTTTCATGTGGAGCGTCATCGTGGAGAACACCTACGTGGATTACTTGAAGGATTACGGAAAGACGAACTACACATTTTTGGAAATCATTACGTTTATTGTTGAATGCAACTTTGCAGGCTTTATTATGTTTATATTGCTCTTCTACCTCTGCCATAGCTATTTTAACGGGACAGCGGAATTGACCAGGTTTTCCGACAGGCTTTTTTATTTGGTAAGGATCACTTTCATTTAGAACCCCTTACACCATTTTTTTTAGGATTGGTGGACAGCCGAAAACTGGGATGAATTTCTAAGAAAGTGGAGCTACTTCGTGCATGAGTGGTTGCATATCTACATTTATAGAGACCTTCACGGGGTTTTATTCCCGGGCAGAACACTTCTGGCGAAGGTACTCGTCCTGTTACTATCGGGATACTTTCATGACCTCATATTGTGTGTTGCGAGCCGAGCATTTCTTCCGTTGACTACCATAGAGTTCCTTTGTTTTGTGTGGATACGTAAATTGGTGTCAAACAAATTCATGTTAGGGTTGCTAGGTATGGAAATGAGCTGCACGATTACATTGTTCATGATGGAGTATTACGCCAGGATCAACTGCCCAATGCAAACTGCTAGTATTATTGGATACGTTATGCCACGATTTCTTTACTGTTAAAGTCCTTAGAACATAGACTAAATAAATTACTGAACGAATTATTTAAAATTTGAGGGGTATGAAGAGTTACACTACCTACGTTAATCGTCGGGGCGGATATGCTCGTCTCTAGCTGAAGTAAGTCCCATGACGTTACACAGGTACCGGAAGCATCAATAAAGGATGATGAAGGTTGTCAGTTTCTAGCTGTCTTCATTCAGGGGAACCTGCCTGTTGTATCCGTGTCGGGTCTAGAGAGTAGTAAAATAGCGCTGACCTGGAGGGATGCGAGCTATTACATCTGTTGGGACCTTAGTAGGATAGGCAGAAAGGCGACCGAATTTGTTCAGTAAGATCGACAGTGATCCAGGGTTCATCAGACCTTTTCTTTGCTTCTCTCCAGTGAAACGAAACGGTGTAAGCCTTATAACGCTTAAATGGGGGGTGGCCCCTTTGATGAATTCAATTTTCATCGGAGTTCCGTTCATTGGGCGGAGGGTGACATCACTGAATGTGGCATCGAATTGCTAGAGGAAGGAATCCGTAGTTTGCGACTTGTTCTCAACGGTTGGAGTTGGAATCGTGAATTTCGGTGAGTCATTGGTAATGGCGTAGAAGGTGGAGTTGGTTTCGGGGGCTCCCAATATTCAGGTGTGGGGCCAATCTGGTTCCAGTCCAAGGGTACTACAGCTAAGGAGTGCAGTAGTCACATTGCGGAACACTCCATGATTTATGTGATAGGATTTTCCATTTAGTACGAGGGTTGCGGTTACTGAACCGCCGGGGCCTATGACCATTAAAAGCCACCATATTTACCCACTTTGTTGTCCAATGGTATAGCGTTGGGCTATAAAGTCGGAGGTCGGGTGTTCGAACCTGGGTTGAGGTGAATCTTTCATCTGTGGCAGAGATGGGAATTACCTTAGACCAGTTTCGAGCATTCTGCCGGCTACTCCGAATTAGGTTTTCCTGCAGTTTTCCTAATTCATAAGGTAAATACCGGAGTAGTATAGAACAACTTAAGACCTTCTGCAGAGGCACCTCTAAAAAGCATTATGCGGATCACGCTGTAATTGGGCGCAAGCCTGTTGAGGGCCCACAACAAGAGAGGGATAATAAATAAATAAATAAATAAATAAAATAAACAACTGCGATTTTATTATCCGATAAGGAAGGAGCAGTAACTAGATGGGTTGAGGTGTGTGTCGTGGTCGGATTTCCAATCCCTAGTGCCACGTCTTATTCCAAGAGGGACATTCGCGTCGGATGTGCGTGGCAGGTTTGTCGCATCCTGGACAATTGAATTTGATATTGGCGGATGCTGTTGTTTGGGGTTGAGATTTGAATTTAGATCCACCAGCTCTCTGGGATTGCTTTTTCGTGTAAGTTGATCTAGAAGCTGCAACGGTAGTCGTGGGTATGGAGATTGGTCGAAGTACTGCTCCAGTTTGGTTGGAGTTTTCAATCGCAGAGCAAATGAAAAGAATGTTATCTAAGCTCATGTCGGAGAAGCTATCAGAAAACACTTTCTTTTGCATCTCTTTATCACGAAGGCCTCAGATAAGCCGGTCACGGATTCGGTCACCTTGGAGATGTTGACTAAGGGGAAATACGCTCGGAAATACGGTACTCCCTAGCTTACCCTAGTCTGTGCATAGGGTGACCACACGCACCCCCGGCTTTGAGTGTAGCGAAATAATGGTTTACGTACTCAGCAGACTATTGGTCGCGAGAATGGAACTCTTGTCTGTCCAATAGTGGGTTTTTTCATCATTGAAGATATGCTTCTCAAGAATGTCATCAATTTGGATAGAACTTGTAATGTTAAGTCGAGAGCTACTCCACAGCATGGTCCAAGGGCCGATCGAAAAATTCCAACTTGAGTATCTAGGTGCTTTTTGGGAGAGTTGCTGGGCACGGAAGTAATCTGTCCAGTGGAGCTTCCAATCTCGGTACTGTAGTCCAGTCAAATTAGCTCTGAAAGTAGTATAAACTGGATGTTGTCATTTCACTGAACGAAACCAAGCGTATTCTATGTAAAAAGATCCGCTGAATTGGAAAATTATAGCCCCCCCGGCCGGAAACGCCCGGAACATATTGTTATAAACAAAGAACGAAGAAAAAATGGGAAAATGTCGTGTATTTTCACATTTGACTGTCAATATCTCGTTAACTATTGCTCTGAGTGAAAAAATCAATAGTAATGAACTTGTTTAGAATAAAATTTTCTATAGGATACAGTTGATCCGGAACGCTCATTTTCAACTGTTATTGTTTTTTAAGGAAAAAACTGAAAACAGTAATCTCTACAATTAACACTTTGTTATTGTTAAGTAAAATTCATTTGATCTTTTTGAAAATCTGTATTTAGTAACTACTTTTGATAACAAAACAATATGACAAACCAGATCACCGTAGGTTTCATACTCATTGATCAATTAGATCAACAAGTAGAACAAGTTAAAAAGTAATCGTAAACGATTTACATAAAGCGCATTTCCACTTGCATTCATTTCCCATTTGTAAGATGCAACTTTTGTTAAAATCGTAAAAATCCGGCCACAAATATGAAAGATAGCGTTGCACATGGGCAATCCATTGTTGACGTGCTACTTCAATTTCGGTTTATGAGAAGAATTTCATTTCAATGCTTTTCTAAATAAGAAAGTTGGAACTGCGCATGCGCAAACCTAAATTTTAAAACTAATGTTAGATTTTCCTTTGTCCCAAGCGCCTAAGTATCAAATTTCACTTAAATGGTTCCATAGATAAAAAAGTTGGCACTGCGCATGCGCAAAATAAAATTTTGAAACTGGCGCTAGATTTTCCTTTATTCTAAGTGCCTATGTATCAAATTTCGTTTAAATTCTTCCATAAATAAAAAAGTTGGCACTGCGCATGCGTAAAACCAAATTTTGAAATTGGCGTTTGATTTTCCTTTATCCCAAGTGCCTATGTATCAAATTTCGTTTAAATTCTTTCATAAATAAAAAAGTTGGCACTGCGCATGCGCAAAACCAAATTTTGAAACTGGCGTTTGATTTTCCTTTATTCCATGTGCCTATGTATCAAATTTCATTTAAATACTTTTATAAGTAAAAAAGTTTGCAATTCGGTTTATAAATGGTCAAGATGCGAAAAGGGCACTGTGAATTTTGAATCGATTCGATTCAACTTTTGGCATTGCGTATTATATGGCTAAAGCTATGCCCATATTGAATTTCATGCAATTCAGTTCATAACTAACGGAGATTTAAAAGCGATCGAACATTTCTAAACAAAGTTATCGTTCACACGGACAGATAGATGGACAGACAGACAAAGGAACAGACGGACAGACCAACCGGCAGGCGACAGATAGCAATGCAAAATTATAAACGATCTCTAGGATCGTTAATAAACGTGTAAAAGTGTAAAATTATGGAACATGTAAAAAACGGTTTTTTGTTTTTTTTTTTACAATAACTTTTTTTGTAAGCGGTACAGAAAAAATTCCTTCCTTGGTACAAGACTCGACACCATAACGAACCAAATAGCGAAAAAAGTAGAACAATAGCTCTTAAGATAAAAAACTAGTAGCGTCGCAAAGTTAGCGGACGGACGGACGGACGGACGGACAAAGTGCCCACAATAGCGCAGTTTTTTTTATTTTTTATTTTTGTGGAAATGCGCTAAAAAGAGATGCTGTGTCCTTCAAACTGGGGGAGTACAAGAGTGTTCTCAATTTTTTTTATACATATTATAACCCTAAAACAATCTTTTCCAATAATTGTCCCGATGATTCTTGCAAATCGACGTACTGTGCAATTTTTTTTTCAAAATCCGAAGAATTTTCTTAGTTGACAAATGGAATAACTCCCGAAATATAACAAAAACATATAACTCTATAATAGGGGAATGTAAAGCTCTCGAAAAGCCGTACATTAAAAAAAAATACGTCCAAATCCGATTAATAGTTCACGAGAAATCAGCTTTTGACTTTGAAGCCAGTTTTCAAAACAACCAAAAATGATTTTGCAAATCGGGTCGCACCGATCGATTATTTACAGCGTGAACTTTTCTCATGCTTCTAGGTATTTCACCAAAATGAATGATTTTTATTAATCCGAATGCCAAGGGCCGATTATAGAGTCACTTTTCTTGTTAAATCTTGGAAGCTATTCGATTTGTAAGTTAACTAAAAAAATTCTACAGTCCGTTGATTTGCAAAAATGATCGGGACAATTATTGGAAAAGATTGTTTTACGGTTCCACTATGTATAAAAAAATTGGGAACACTCTTGTACTCCCCCAGTTTGAAAGACACAGCATCTCTTTTTCTACTTGTTTATTTAATTAATCAAAAAGTATGAAACCTACGGTGATTTGGTTTGTCGTATTGTTTTGTTATCAAAAGAAGTTACTAAATACGGATTTTCAAAAAGATCGGAAGAATTTTACTTAGTACTAACAAAGTGTTAATTTTCGAGATTACTTTTTTACATTTTTCCATAAATAAATAACAGTTGAAAATGAGCGTTCCCGACCAACTGTATCTTATAGAAACTTTTATTCTAAACAAGTTCATTTCTATTCATTTTTTCCCTCCGAGCAATAGTTAACGAGATATTCGAAGTCAAATGTAAAAAAAACACGACATTTTCCAATGTTTTCTTCATTTTTTGTTTATAACAATATGTTCCGGGCGTTTCCGGCCAGGGGGACTATGATTTTTTGAATAGCGGATTTTTTTACATAGGAAGAGGAAGAGCTTTGCTGATTCAGGGCCTGGATGAAAACGCGCATGAGTTCCTGTGGGTCCACAATTTGTACCTAATAATTGGGTGCTTGGTTAGCCGCTGATTTCGATCTCCTTCCTCTTGCCATTTTGACAGGGAAACAGCAACAAACTTTCGCAAAATCGCTTATTTAATTAATCGCTAACAGCATCGCTTCCACATAGAATACTTAATCGACCTCAAAAGGATCGTCACGGATGATTTGTCCTCAAGAATCATGATATTACGCATAAATGTAATCTTCGTCGCCTAAATGCTGATCTACCAAAATAATCATAATTATGTGACGTCATAGAAAAGCGATTACTGTGACACCGCCTTGATAACCTCTCATTAAAGCATTCGGGTAATTCTTATAATTATCTCCACGCGATGGTTCAATAATCGACTGTCGTAGATCACAATTCACACTTAAAATAGTATTATTACTAAACGAAAAATGATCACAAAGAGAAAAACTGACCGACTTCCAGCGATGAGTAGTGCTTCAAACGATCCGTAAGGAATTTCTGAGCGTTAATTGAATTGTAGATGCTTCATTCTAGAAAGATCCAGGAAAGATGCCAAAGAACTAGAATTTTTAAAACAAGAGAGTCGCTGTTGACCATTATACTCGAAGGTAGAAACGGCAAAGCGATATACAACGTATTTCCGGGAATATTCTTGCTTGGCATGCTTTATTCTGCTTTAAAGGATTACCAGCGCGAAGGAAGGCAATGCCCCAGATTATTCATTTTAAAAGCTACAGATCTGTTGTAGGCCTTACTTCGGTACCAGACTTTTACGGAGCTCTTTTGCTCAGTTTGATGTGGCCGCGATGATTTGGATCCCCATGTTTGGGTCGTGTTTGCTTGTCTACTTTTTTTTTGCGCTTTGGAAGCAAGGCCGCCAGCAAACCAAATGGAAATGTATGCAAGCTGCACCACTTGGAAATCACCCAAGTTGAATTTCAGGTCAATGGGATAAGCTGTTCGTTTCAGTTTTTGGGTTGTATGTGCTGGTACTACCCCATCTTGTTGCATTTGTGACTGTCAGCAACAATCTGGGCCCCGCCTCATCCCTTGCAGTTATGCTGGAAATGGTGACTTCATCTGGGTATCATATTTCTTCATTTATTAGTGTTTTAGGTAAGGTTATTAATGAAATCCTACGCTTTTGTACGCAGCAATACCAAGTCGTTGGAACACAAACAGGGTGGTCTTTGTCCTTCTTTTTCGCATTACCTGTACTTCTTGTTCGCCCCTACGCTAATTTACAGTGATAATTACCCAAGGTTTGTAAGGTAAAAGCAGTGAAAGCATCATCACTACTATTTCAGAACTAACAAGATTCGATGGAGTTGCATTGCTATAAGCTTTGCAGAAATAACTGCAATAATTCTTCTGCATAGCGTCCTTGTGGAAAACACCTACGTGTATTACTTACAGAACTACGGAAAAAGAAGCTACAGCTTTCTGGAGATCATTACGTGTATCGTGGAATGCGCTTTTTCGGGCCATGTTTCACTAATAATGATATTCTATAGCTTTCACAGCTACTTTAACGCTACCGCTGAATTGACCAGGTTTTCGGACCGACTTTTTTATCTGGTAAGCGCCCGTTTATCAAGCAGATACAGGAGTGTTCATTCCAGGATTGGTGGACAGCTGAAAACCTGGACGAATTTCTGAGGGGATGGAGTTACTTCGTGCACGAGTGGTTACACGTTTACATTTACAGAGATTGCCACGAAATTTTGTTCCCAAGCAGAAAACTCCTAGCAAAGATAGTTGTTCTTGTCCTATCGGGATACTTTCACGACCTCATATTGTGTGTAGCAAGCCGAACGTTTCTTCCATTGACCATCATAGAGTTCGTTTCATTTGTGTGGATGCGCGTATTTCTGACAAACAAGATGATACTAGGATTATTAGGCATGGAAGTAAGCTGCGCGTTCACGATTTTGATGATGGAGTATTACGCCCGTTTAAACTGTCCAATGCCAAATGCTGGCGTTATTCAATACCTAATGCCACGATTTCTTTATTGTTAACGTCCCATTACAAATTAGTCTGGACTCTCAAGACTGCGAGTTGTGAGAATGTTCCTTGTCTACCTCGTAAACGTGTAATCAATAAAAGAAGAAAATATATTCCATCCACAACAAGCGTTAAATAATTTCGTACTTTTAAACTTGTGAGTTGTGAGTTCTGTATGCACAGTGATGAGGTTGCTTGTAGACATAGCAAACGCAATCAATCAAAGGAGAAAAGATGTTTCATGTTCTACAACCCCTCAATGGGTTCAAAGATCGTAAGTAAAACATAATTGCGCCCCTATGAATTGGTGTAAGGATAATATGCAAAATAATAAGTAAGTTTCAAAACCGCGAGATATGAGAGTGAGAAGATTGTCTGCGGGCCCAGTGAACATTATCGATCAAAGAAGAAAAGATTTATTACAAGAGTTACACCCCTCTCAATCGGTGTAAGGATAATAAGTAAAACAAAGTTTCCATTAAAAAAAAAGTATTCTCAAAAGGTTGTGAGGTTTGTATGCGCACTGGGCAGTGAGACCCAGTAAACGTAATTATTTGAGTAAGAAGGGATATAATCCACGTACTACCAGAATTACACCCCTTTGAATTGGTGTAAGAATAAAATGATTATTATATAGGAGTGGTCCCTGTCGGTTCCTGCACTGCGACCTTTACCTGTATCTTTAACAAAGTCCAGGAAATTAGGGGGAACCCTCGTTACTTCCTCTTGACTAATTTTTTCAATTCCAAGTAGACGTTCCGTTGCCTTTGTTTATCGTTACCATTGGCAAATGATGTGTGGTGATTATGTCAATTCTGTCGCGAGTTTAATCTTCACCCTACTTAGCTTTAAGATGGACGATGCTAATTCCCCAGGGTTTCCAGAAAGATCTTGGAATGGTTATGTTCTGGAATTTTCGACTGCGACGTACTTTAGCTTTGTTGGCCCTTTTCTACGTGAAAAGAGAATGAGGTTTGCTTTTGTTGGATTCATAGACAAGCCCTCTTCTTCGCACGATGTCTGCACTAGATTTAAAGCTCCCTGTATCACAACTGATACGGTCTCCTCAAATCTGCCACGCACCACAATCACTATGTCATCTGCATAGGGAACTGTGGTATTTATAGCCCGCCTCACTTAATCTCCTCAGCGGGCCGTCTATCACGAAACGTCACAGTAGCGGAGAGACAACTTATCCTCGTGCAACCCGAACCATTGCAGAGCCGTTGTTAAGCGAGGCTGTAATATTTCTATGTTCTAGCATGGCATGGATGCATCTAGCAGATAGATTCTGCAGAGGGTATTGTTGAACGTCCCTTCTGTATTTAAAAACGCCACTAGAGCCACCTCCTTACAGGAAATTGCCCTTTTAGCTACATCCAATACTCTGTGGATAGCAAGTTCACAGGATTTTCCCGGAGAAAAGAGACTGATGAGTCTAAACGGCTTGACCTGGGCGTATGCGACACGCCCAGGACTTTTACGTCCCTCCACGCCATAGGTATGTATCCCGGGGCAAAACTTGCCCTTAATAACGTACATAGTGTGGAGGCTAGCAGGTCGAGGACTTGTAGTAGATCAGGAAAGATTCCATCCATCCCTGGGGATTCATACGGATGGAAAGTCTTCGCTGCCCACCTCACTTTGGTTGGGTTTACTATCTGTCGAGCAAAAACCCAATCTCCTCTGCTCCCTTTACAAGTGGTTCCAGAGTAATTGGTTCGCCCGCGTGATTTTGAGTATTTGATACCGGACAGTGTGATTGAAACAAAAGCTCCAAGATCTCCTTGATGTCTGTATAACCCCCCTTAATTTTCTTCAAGGAACCGATTCTACACTTTGTTCAAGGTTCTTTGGCACCTTCTGAAATTTGTTCAATTTTCTCTTACCTACTGAAGCGTGGTGGTTGGCCCACCTGGTTGTGGTTTCCCTGAGGGCTCCTCAACTGCTGTGGCCTCTTCGCAACTCCATGCCTCATCTGCATCCATCTTCGTCTTGGAGAGGAGTTTGAACGTCACTCTGGTGAAGTACATGTAGGGTCGATGGCCCCAATCTTGTTCCAGGAAGTATGGTCCAGAAAGACAATCAAAGTATGTCCCTTGGATTCCCCCTTCCTGTCCACCACCCATCAATTCCTGGTTGTGACCAGATCCTTCTCCTTGATCCACGGGCATCCAGGCGTGGGAGGTTCCTCGCTTCGACGAATCGAAGTTTCGCACCCTCCCATGGAGCTCAGACCTCAATGAATTCAACGATACCTGGTTTGCGCTGTGATTAACAGTGCGTTCCCCCTCGGTGACGACACACCCTCAATTTGGCCGAAACCGCCCCAATGGCGTCGACTCTGTCAAGGATCCAGGTTCTGATTCGCCATGTCTCCTCTTCTAACAGCCTTCCCTCCAAGTCATCATGGGCAAAATCCAGTCTGATGCCTGTAGCTGCTTAGGTAAAGGTTCTGGTATCCTTTACGGTCCCAGTTTTTGCCTTCTTCGAGCAACTTGCCATGGGAGAGCTGCCATCAAGCCGGTGCTGCTTTAGCGTCCCAGTTCTCAGTGAAATCTCGGCAGGTGCGTTGCCTAGTTGCTTAGAACTCCAAGGTTGCTCCACTTCAGGTTGTATATAGCCGTTTATGTTCTATCTTACATTGTTTTAGCTCCCGGCGCGCTGCCCGGAGCATTTTCTAAGTTCTCCAGTACCAGGGGCTCCGGGTTGTTTTATTCCACGACTATTGGGGGAAAAAATATCCACGCTCGCGGTGCTCCCTTCAGATGGCTCAGGCGACGGATTGGCTCCCGGTACTCCGAGGTTAAGGCCGATAGTTGCTATTCAGTCCCTTAGGATTTGGGTTACCTGCTGAGGTTGTCTCCTCTTGGTCCGGGCGATAAACTAGAGGCCCTCGCACCATTCTGAGCTTCCCAGCTTCAGCACCGTTTAACACCGTGCTAGTCCTTAACCACGATACGACATCCGGGCGAGATAGCTGGTTCGCGATGCTGTCTTTGGTTGCTACGATCCTCTGTTTCATAGTGGCGAGCATCCTTATCTCTACCAGGGATGTGGCGCATGCAGATTTTTCGATATCCCCGTCGTCGCAAAACCTTGATTTTCATTTTTTTTAAATATAATCGCTCACCCTATTGAAAAAAAGGCTAAAGATGATAACACTTTATCATTGTGACTCGTTATCACTCTTCGTTGATATTAGTCGTAAATAACACGTTATCAATTCACTTAAACGTTGTAAGGAGAACAGTTCCCTTCATTTGTTAGTCATTGACATACAAGTGATGAAATTAAAGGACAAACATGCCGAGGGTAAAAATCCAGCCGCTAGAGACTTCAAACCAAGGGAGTCTTTACTAACCGTGTTGGGGAGAGGGAAGAACTTCCAATTCGTGCTTAACCTATGTTTCGCAAGCTGCCTCTCCTCTGTGCTTTCCTACGCCTTAAAGGACTACGAACGTGAAGGATGGTAAGTGTGTTCTTAAAGCAAGTAACATAAATCTGCCACATTTAGGCCCTATTGTGGAACGAGACTTTTACGGAGTGCATTTGCTGGGCTTCATGTGGCCCTACTCATCTGGTTGTACATGTTCCTGAGCAGTCTGGGAGTATATTTTGCTTTCATCTGTTGGGCCCATCTACGGAAACAGGTCCAACGCAAACGTATGTATGCAACCACCCAGAATACGAGATGTTTACCACTCCACCCACTTTCAGCTCTACTTGACACCACTTTTGCATCCCTATATCTACTGTACACGATTGCACTACAATATTATGCAACTAAGATGAATCTCACTTCCGGTTTAGGCGTAATATCCTCCCTGGCTTTGATGATGGAGATGGTCTACACATCAAATTGCTAACTACCAACGTTATTCTTGTCTTGTAGGTCAGGATCGTAATGAAAACGCACTCGTTTATTCGCACTAACGCACCGAAATGCTGTAATTCCGATAAAAGTGGACCAGGTCCAACCTTCGCTCGCTACTTGTACTTTCACTTTGCACCAACTTTACTGTACAAAGACGTCTATCCAAGGTACGACGTGATCAGCATCCCTACAAAGCTCTGAATAGCCGAATTACAGATCCAAGTGCATACGTTGGGGTTTCATTGGGTCCTGCTTTTCGGAAATTTTAATAATTGTAGTCCTCTCAAGCGTACTCTTCGAAAATTCGTACATGTACCACTTAAGAGACTATGGACTGAGGAAGTACACGTTTTTAGAAATTTGCACCATTGCAGTGCAATACTTCTACCTGGGTTACGTTACGTTATTCTTCGCTGGCTATTTATTTTTGCACACTTATTTTAACCTTACGGCTGAGTTTCTTAGATTTGCGGATCGTCAGTTTTACGAGGTAAACATGCAACAGTTATACCACGAGTATCACAATTGATTTTAGGATTGGTGGACGTCGGTAAATTTAGACGACTATTTTAGGAAGTGGAACCCCATTGTATACGAATGGTTATATGTGTTTGTATACAAGGAGTGCCGTGACCATTTTGCTCCAGAAAAAACGCAGTTCGCCAGGCTACTGACGCTACTTCTGTCTGGACTCTATCACGATTTCATTATGTGCATTTCGTGTCGGTTATTTATGCCGTTTTTTACATTCGGGTACGGTTTCATCTTTTTATTACGAAGCTTAAAGGGCAAACGATCTTTGGTTGTTTCATATGGTATTCAAGTGAGCATGGGATTTACCATATGGACGATGGAGTATTATGCAAGGCAAAATTGTCCGAGAGTGCAGGATGGAATACTGGATGTTCTGATACCGCGTTTTGTTTACTGCTAGTTTTCTTTAGCCTTTAATGTTGCACTACGTATGTTAGTAAAATTAGTTTAGTTTCCAGTATTGCGACATACAGGGTGATTCCTATAGTACCTGCCACCGTTTGGGAGCGTATAGGGGTTGCCTAGGGGAAGTCTTTTCATATAGGACACTTGGGGTCGGAAATCCAAAATAAGGGCGCCAGAACCAAATTTATCTTCTGGAATTTCACGCCTGTATGTAGGCAACCCAACCGACCGACGTTCCGCGCGGAGCGATGCAGAGCGAGTTAGCGCGAGGAAGCGACATGGGAGGGAAGGAGGGAAAACGACAGTCAAAAGCAATAACGTTTACAAGTGTTCAACGTGGCCACCGTTGTTCTCAATGCACTTCCTACATCTAGCCAACCACTCCCCTCGAACTCGCGTGAAGACTCCTATGTCCTGGCGTACAGCCTCTCCGGCCATGACGACGCGCGCAATTAAGTCCTCTTCGGATTCGACGGGAGTCTCGTAGACGTGCGCTTCCATCACACCCCACAAGTAAAAATCTAATGGGGTGATGTCGGGCGAGCGGGCAGGCCACTCCACCGCACCTCCACGGCCGATCCATCTGTCCGGATAGGTTTGGTCCAAGTGTTCCCTCACCTGCCGCCCGTAGTGAGCAGGGCACCCATCGTGCTGGAACCAGTGGTCCCAGTACAAGTTCACTGGAACATCCATTAAAAGTTCTGGTAGCACCTCGCGCAGGAAAATCAGGTAATTATGGGCATTTAGACGCGGAGGGAGGATGTAAGGCCCCAGTAGGTTGTCCCCCAGGATGCCAGCCCAAACGTTTAAAGAAAACTTGTCCTGGTATCCTCGCGTAAACGTTTCATGAGGATTGTGCTCCGCCCAGTAGTGGCTGTTACGAGGATTGAAGGTCCCCTCTCTTGAGAATCCTTTCTCGTCAGTAACTAGCACGCTCCTCAGAAAGTTCGGATTAGCTTCTTCCTCCTGGACGACTAAGTTGCAGAATTCCAGCCTCCTTTCATGGTCACCCGGCCGTAACTCTTGCACTTTCTTAAACTTATAGGGGTGTAAGTTGTTGTTGTTGGCGATGTTCCGCACTGTGTGTTGACTACAACCCACCTGATCTGCTACAAGTCGAGTGCTAGTACGCGGGTTTGCCTCGAAACGTTCCAACACATCCTCCTCTAAGGCATTTACGAACGGGCGATCGCGATCACGGGCGCTAGTGGGCTGCGAAATAGGAGGAGGTCGGTGTAAACAAACAAACTTTTCGAAATGGGTGCTTAAATGACCCAAGTATCGATGTGCATTACGAATCTGTGTGTAAAGTTAAGCCTCCGTCAGCTTACCTGCAATTGCCCTGTCTCGCACAGTCGGAAGTGAACTTCTTGAAAGACCTGTCTGCAGGGTAACTGACGGTTTGGATACCGCTCAGCGTACGCTCGTCGTCCAGCTCGTGCGTTACCATTTGCCAATCCGTACATGAAGTGCATGTCCGCGTATTCCGTGTTAGTAAAACGTGCCATAGTGTTTATTCACTTGATACGCGTCGTTGCAGACGGGATTTCGTGGGTTTAAATTAAACAAAATTCTGACAAGTGTCAGCCACACATCGCCGCCTGAGATCGCTCCGTGTGCACCGCCGGCCGGTTGGGTTGCCTACCTACAGGCGCGAAATTCCAGAAGGTAAATTTACTTAAAATTACTATAAGAATCGCCCTGTATAAAGTCTTCTTTCACTATCGGTTATTGGCGTAACATTCTACTTTCTTTCATCGCTTTTGCTTCTCGTGCATGTCACTTTTATTAGCTTTTCTATACGAATGTGATTAGTGTTTAAAAGTAATTTGACAGATCGGTAGCTATTAGACTAAGCGATGCAGGAATAGCACGATAGTATGAATATAATGCCGAAAACCTGAGTTTTACTATATTCCGTTGCCGAGATTTCGATAGATTTATAAAAAGCTTAAAAGGTGCCCGAACAGCCGACAGTGATAAGCTGCAAAAAATGGAAGAGCCTTAAGAGAAAGTTAAACTCTAGCAATTTGTTACCATCTGGGCCAGTCAATTGTGTTCGTCCAATCCAATCCAATGTGATTTCCCCAAAGAGATTGAGGTCTTCGTGATTGCGATCAGGAATATTCTTCGACGTTTGGCATCAAAGCTCACTTGCTAAGCTGTGCATCTCAAACTCGGAAATGATTTTCATTCCCTGCATCTCCAAATTGCTGTAGTACTCGAACTTGAAGTTAAAAATCACTTAAATTAAGTTTTCAAATACTTTCAAGAACTTTAGGAGAAGTAGTATTGACCGTTAAGCCCTTTACTGACCAACAAACCTCTAATAGCACGGGGTTTAAGAGCTTTTAATAAATTTTAAGTGGGCGATATCAGTAATGTCTATACAAAAGTTTTCTTATGGAAAACATTCCTACTGTTTTAAAAAATTAAAAAAAAGTTTTCGCCTTAATAGTCCAGTAACTTTGCTCCTAAAAATGGGGGGTACCAAGCGTCAAATCCGGTAGTTCTGATTTTTTGTGGGATTGCTTATGTTGTTAACCCAATGTATAATTCAAGTTTTCGACCTCGAGCGGCGAACGCAACATAGTCAAATGTACTAAAAACCGAGGAATTTTCGTTTTCTTTTCAGATTTTGACGATTTTAACCCTGAAGGACCAGTTTTTCGCCAATAACGGTTCAATAAGTTTTCAAAGCAGACCAAATTTGCTATAATTTAAGCCCACATCCGTTTGTATAGGTGTAATAGATTCCGAGATAATGCTTTTCAAAGATTGTCAATTTTTCGAATTCAAAAATCTTTCACAATACTTTATGGGTGACGTTTCTATTCTGTTTTACACAGATGCCAAGAATGGGCGGTATTACGCTGAAAAATGAAACGAATAATGAATTTTGTAAGGTGGTAGTTTCTGTTGCCAACTAAACTGTCGAACAATCATTAGCTGTTAATGTCAAAGATCCAAGAGTGTAATCGTTTGACTTAGTTCTGTTCAGTTCAGTGCTCGATATTTTTACTTTACAATAATTTGATGCCGTTTTTTATTTTCCCTGATTTTTTTCTGATCTAGAAATGGTGGAGGATGTATTGTGGAGAGATGTTACACAAGATATTGATAATCCAGCCACAAGGCTTTCAAGTGAGGAAATGGACGATGCTCAACCGTGCTCGTCCAAGAAGGGACAATATACTTAGATGGAAGTCAAACAAAATTTCTTTTTATAAAATGATTGTTTTGAAGTTTAATTAAGAATATCATTTATACCTCTCGTTTTCTTTTATAGAAAGTGCTAACAATTTTCGATTTTAAAAAAATCGATAAACTTTTAAAAGCAATATCTCGTAAACTATTACGTCTATAGAAACGGTCGTAGCCTCAAATTGTAATAGCTATTTGTGTATTAAGAGCGCAAAATGATATATTGTCGATTGAAAGAGACAGTTGACGCGCGACGAAGGAGCGCGGCAATCTCTTGAAATCGACAATCAATTTGCGCTCGAATTACACACAAGGTTTTTTCTACAATCGAGCAGTTCACATATTTCAAATATTTCAATTTTTCACTCAAATCATTTTAATCTTATGCCCAAATGAAAGATGTCATTTACTCGTTGTCATTGGATACTCTGAGCAATGCATATTTAATTTATAGTTTATAATTGGGAGAGCGAGCGTTTTTTCTATTTTGTCGCTTATAAGCGACAAAGTGACATTCCTCGAAAAAGATGACGTTTGCGTTGTCAAATACGAGCGCAAATGCCTACTTTGGATATCGATTGTAGAAAAACAATTTAGTCTACTTTCAAAGCGTATTCATTAGTTATTTTCGACAAACTGGTCCTTTAGGGTTAAAATCGTCAAAATCTAAAAGAAAACGAAAATTCCTCGGTTTTTAGTATATTTGACTATGTTGCGTTCGCCGCTCGAGGTCGAAAACTTGATTTATACATTGGGTTAACAACATAAGCAATCCCACAAAAAACAGAACTACCGGATTTGACGCATGGTCTGATGTATATAGTTACTGGACTACACATTCTATAAGAAAATTTATTTTCCGGGTCGATTTGAGACAATTTTTTTTTCGGCGCTCAAAAAAAGGCAGTGTATAACCTTCCTTTTTTACCAAAAATCGACTGCACCAAAATTTCTCGGGAAAACAATTTTTCTTATTAATTTTGGCGCGTAGAATCTAAAACAATTCGTACTTTTTCGATCGGACTTCTCAATCAAAAGTTATGGACTAGAAACCAATTTCGAAAGAAAAACCAAAGGGCTGTAACTTTTGAACTAGTAGCCTAATCTTGGAACTGTTTGAAATTATGGATCCTACAGGCCACATTCTATAAGAAAATTTTTTTTCCCGGGTCCATCTGAGACAATTTTTTTTTCGAGGCTCAAAAAAAGGCAGTGTTATAACCTTCCTTTTTTACCAAAAATCTACTGCACCAAAATTTCTCGGGAAAACACTTTTTCTTATTAATTTTGGTGCGTAGAATCCAAAACAATTCGTACTTTTTCGATCCGACTTCTCAATCAAAAGTTATAGACTAGAAACCAATTTCGAAAGAAAATTCAAAGGGCTGTAACTTTTGAACTAGTAGCCCAATCTTGGAACTGTTTGAAATTATGTATTCTACAGGCCACATTCTATAAGAAAATTTTTTTCCGGGTCGATCTGAGACAATTTTTTTTTCGGGGCTCAAAAAAAGGTAGTGTATAACCTTCCTTTTTTACCAAAAATCGACTACACCAAAATTTCTCGGGAAAACACTTTTTCTTATTAATTTTGGTGCGTAGAATCCAAAACGAATCGTACTTTTTCGATCAGACTTCTCAATCAAAAGTTATAGACTAGAAACCAATTTCGAAAGAAAATTCAAAGGGCTGTAACTTTTGAACTAGTAGCCCAATCTTGGAACTGTTGAAATTATGGATTCTACAGGCCACATTCTATAAGAAAATTTTTTTTCCGGGTCGATCTGAGACAATTTTTTTTTCGAGGCTCAAAAAAAGGCAGTGTATAACCTTCCTTTTTTACCAAAAATCGACTGCACCAAAATTTCTCGGGAAAACACTTTTTCTTATTAATTTTGATGCGTAGGATCCAAAACAATTCGTACTTTTTCGATCGGACTTCTCTCAATCAAAAGTTATGGACTATAAACCAATTTCGAAAGAAAATTCAAAGGGCTGTAACTTTTGAACTAGTAGCCCAATCTTGGAACTGTTTGAAATTATGGATTCTGCAGGCCACATTCTATAAGAAAATTTTTTTTCCGGGTCGATCTGAGACAATTCTTTTTTCGGGGCTCAAAAAAAGGCAGTGTATAACCTTCCTTTTTTACCAAAAATCGACTGCAGCAAAATTTCTCGGGAAAACACTTTTTCTTATTAATTTTGGTACGTAGAATCCAAAACAATTCGTACTTTTTCGATCGGACTTCTCAATCAAAAATTATGGACCAGAAACCAATTTCGAAAGAAAATTCAAAGGGCTGTAACTTTTGAACTAGTAGCCCAATCTAGTACTCCCCGAAAGGTCATGTAACGATCTATGTATGTGTACAAAGGAAAATAAGTTATGGCATAAATATTATTATAAATAATAAACTTAGTCTGCGCATGCGCCCACCTGAAGTTTACAATATGCGATATGTTTGCAATTACTAAATTACTAATTACTAAATATCTTTAAAACTGTAGGAGTAGTAGTAGAGGTTTCTGATGGACGGAGGGACGCATGAATTCATAATAGCGCCTTCCAACCTGAGTTGGAATATGCGATAAACGTTATACATTTTTAGCGCATTTTTAAGAATTAAAAAAAATGTGCTATTGTTTGCTTGTTGTGCGTCCGTCCGTGTCCGCGCCCACTTCTGCGGTTTTGACCCGCTTTCAGGAGAATTCCTAGAGTCCTCGTTTTTTTGCAATAGGTAGGATTAAAATGCAATGAGGGACGAAAAGTGGCAGTACACAGCATCTCTTTGAATTTGGGAGGCAGTAATTTCCTCATAACGTTCAGTTTATATGAACCTGGCAAAACATGTAATAATTAATAAATGGGAGCATTTAATTCAAGAATAAGGCACTTAATTAGCACCTAATTAGCACCTAATTATGCAATATGTTTGATTGTGTTCTGCTGATCTTGCTCTGCTAAGTTCATGGACATTCTGCTGATGTGCTGTTACAGCCTTGCCCAGGTCTTGTGATCTCTGCCCGGAGACAACCTCACAAAAGTAGATGATTTGTTCCGCTGTCTCTTTCTACTCGAATGTGACATGTGTTTTCCTCACCTACCCCGATTTTATTGAAATGATATCCCAAGGGACTGCCCCAGTGATCAGGTCTATCTATGATATTACTTCTGCTGAGGGTTAGCTAGTCTCCTGGAAAGTAATCAGTTGCTTAGATTGTCTTACACCCCGGAATTAGGAGGGTGAGTTGTTTTGTATATTTTAGTGTTGAAATGGATAAGGAACAAGCGTTCCAAGTAAAATAACCAGGAAGTTGGCCAGTTTAGAGGGATACTGTTCCAGATGGAAGAGTAAATAATTGCACCAAGTTCAATTCGGTGCCAAACACTGCGCACCAAGGCCGAGAAGAAGAGGGAGCTAATACCCGAGCTTGAAGTGGACATTCTGGAAAATGAGAAGAGCTTCTCACATGCATATTTGACAGAGGATTCAAAGGCTGTTGAGATTATTAGTGGATTCTGGATCAAAAGCTCACAGCAGCTGAACCTCCCAAGGCAAAAGCGAAGGCGGGATAACGGTCCAGTTACACCCAAAACAACAAAGTGATTAACAACAGAAGTAATCGTTCTGTAAGCTGATTCCACTCTGACCAAATCCAAGGCTCAATTGACGTACTTCTGGGAGCAGAGGAATACGCCAAGGTCTTACTCACTGGAGTCGTGAAAGAAGACGACTTGTTGGGTCAACAAAACGAACTCGGTTGGGTGATATTCCTATAGGACGGCAGCAGCTGTTCAGTCCACAGAAAACTACAACAATTAACAGAAGACGGAAAAGAAGACTATCCAAAGGCAGCCCGAGGCACAATGCAGAACGTCTACGGGGACGACATCTTATCTGATGCCAACAGCATGCATCAAGTTATCCAATTACCAAAAGGAGGGTTCAAGTTCCTTAAACGGGCGGCTAACAAAAAAGATATACTAACCACCACTCCCATGGACGAAAGAATAATTTAGTGCAGTTCCAGAAGGCATTTATAACTTCGATGAAACATCCGGACGTCGCACTAGGGAAATAACAGAGGAAACAATTAAAACTTTGAAGGAATTTACTATTGTTCTGTATGACTCCGGAGCAGGCGAAATCTACTACAAAAGACCAAAAAAAAAAGTAAGGTTATGCCCTTTGGAGGGAATTAGCTTCTGTGATGCATCAAATATGTTTGTTTCATTGATCGACTATGTTCAGAAGATTTACTATATACCTACAAAGCGCGAAAGAAAATTCGCATATTCCACATTATGATTTAGGAATTTCTTCTGCTTCCGAGCCTTTGTAAAATGGAAATAATAAACTCGTGGCAAAGGATTTTCCTCTGTCAGTAGTTTTCTTTTGTATACTTGACCAAAACTCTTTTCCACAATCCAGTATTGGAGTATCCTGAAAAGACAGTTATGCTATTAATTCCTTAATCCTCAAACATATTTTCGTCTGATCTTCCACAGAATTTCTCTTGAAGACATAGGAACTGCCTGTATGCTCTAGTAATTCAAGAGACGTCAGAGAATTTCTTCTTCTTCTTCAACTCATGATTAACTTTTGCGTTCATGGCGTGTGCGTTGGAGTTTGAGCAATAGATCACAGGCAACTCTACGTTAAATGTTAAGTAAAAGTCGAATGTTCTTTGTTCTTATTGAATGCTATATTCCTTATTATCCATCTACCCATAAATTAAATCCACAAATACGTACCTAAGCAAGGATTCTATTAGCATTAGTTTATCCGGAGAATAAAGTTATAGGAAGGACAGAGAAGTGTAATTAGACCGTCATTAGAGTAAAGTGATCTTTGTCCCTTCAATTGCGTTAACGTTCTCAGGTTTTTATGATAGATCTCACGGTAAAAACATTGATATAAGTACACGACCATGACCTCCATTACTGCGCGCCTAAAATACAGCGCATACTACTCCTACGTTATCTAAGAAACGATAAAAAAAACCTCAGTTATGATTTAGGCACCGTTAAATCCACCATGTTCTTTTATATAGCAATCATCGTCTTAATTTACGTGCTAGTCCATGCGTTATGGCAGCCTTTCAAGTATTGGAAAAGAAGGAATATACCCCAACTTAAACCGACCCCGTTGGTAGGAAACTTTGGCCCACTACTAAGGCGTCAATGCTCAATTGCGGAGTTGGTTCAGGATATTTACAACTCTCATCCAAACCACAGGTTGACTTTCGCCAACTCATGGCGATTGTTGCATTTTGTTTGTTCTTTCAGGTACTTTGGGGCTTATCAGTTTTTCCTACCCACTCTAGTACTAAAAGATCCCGAGCTCATCAAGAAGGTCGCCGTGAAAGAGTTTGATACGTTTCCCGAGCACAGAACCGTAGCGCTCGAAGAGGTCGACTCCCTTCTGGCGAGCAACATATTCTTCATGAAAGGTAAGCGAAGACGGGCTGGTGTGATGGGTGGTTGTTATCGTTTTGCAGGAGGAGAGAAGTGGCACGTTTTGAGATGCGCGCTAAGTCCCGCCTTTACCAGTAGCAAATTGAAAGCTATGTTTGCTCTAATGCAGGAGTGCGCCCAACAGTTTGTAGAATACTTCGAAAATCAAACGGGGGTGATCACTTTGGAAATGAAGGATGCGTTTACACGTTACACTAACGATGTAATTGGAAGCACGGCGTTTGGAATCACCTGTAACTCGCTCAAGGATAGGGATAACACTTTTTATGCGATGGGTTTGCAAGCCACCAGTATAACGCTGTTCCGAGGGTTGAGGGTGTTTATGCAAACCATTAGCCCGCGGTTGGCGAAGGTACGAAATGTCCCTCTGGACTGTGAGTAACTGCCAGTTTTAGATATTCCAACTGTCCATCGTGCCCAAATTTATCGAAACTTACTTTGTGAATATTATACGGGAGAGCATTTCCATAAGAAAAGAGAAAGGTATCGTTCGTCCTGACATGATTCACCTACTGCTCGAAGCGAGACAAGGTAGGTTGAAGTATGACGATGTTGGGGAGGATTCCGGATTTGCCATCGCGCAGGAGTCCGAGGCGAGGAAATCGCACGGCGCGTTAAAAGCGTCGATCACCGATGAGGACATTGCAGCCCAGGCGTTCTCCTTCTTCCTTGCCGGATTTGACACCTCCGCCACCGCTATGTGTTTCGCCGCGTATGAGTTGGCGGTTAACTGTGATATTCAAAGAAGGCTGCAAAGTGAAATAGACACGTCCTTAGCCTCCAATCAAGGAGAAATCACATTCGAGGCAGTGCTTGGGTTGGCTTATCTCGACCAAGTCGTTTCGGGTAGACCCAGAAATTTGGGAATCGTTTAAGAATTGCAGTTTTTTTAGAAACTCTTCGGAAATGGCCGCCTATTACATTCACCGATAGAAAATCCGTAGCGCCTTTCACAATAGAAGCTAAGCTTCCTCACGAGCAGACTACACACTTTGAAGCGGGCACGGTATGTTGGATTCCCATATACGCCATCCACAGAGACTCGTTGTACTACCCTGATCCTGGCGTGTTCGACCCTGAAAGATTCCACAAGGACAATCTGCACAAAATCAAACCTGGCACTTATCTTCCGTTCGGAATGGGGCCTAAAAACTGTATTGGTGAGTCCATCGAGTAGGTACTGTGACCAAGATCCGTTTTTTGTAGCCTCGCGGTTTGCAATTCTGGAAACTAAGTTGATTTTGTTCAACATTTTAAGCAAATTCAACATTGTCCCAGTAAAGGAGACCAAAATTCCTTTCGTTCAAGGGAGAAACGGCCTGTTTCTGAGCGCGGAGGGAGGCTTCTGGTTGGGATTGCAACACAGGGAGAGGTACATAAATAATATTGGTAATTATAAATAATGTATCCGCTCGGTCTTTTCTAGGTGATGGTTGGACGCTGGGGTCGCACATTTTTGTCATTGCACCATGAATAGACTTAGCCAGAAGATCATGCACTCTCTGTACACGACATTCATTCAAGGATTGCTAGTAACCAATGAACTGCTCAGTAAATTATCAAATGAGCTGTTATAAACCATAGAGAGCGTCACAGCACTTAAATAAAAAATCATATGTACGGAAATATTACTTATTGAAATTAATATTTCAAATAAATTTACATTCTGTTCTCAATATATGCTTTGTTTTGCGATTTTTTGTTGTTATAAAACTGTAATTGTAAGGCTACGACGTTAATGATCGTGAAGAATATCAATGTCATAAGAAAACTCCTAGATCGTTGTAGATTCCAAGATTTCGGATTCGTGGAAAATTAACAAACTGTTGTGACTACAATTTAGAGCAAGTGCTTACTGAGGAGTTTCACGGAATAATAAACAGTAACAAAGTTCAGCAAGAAACGTATTTACATTCGCAGTTCAAAGCTAATTTCCACTGATAAGTAATATTAGCCACCGAAATTGAGCCATTGTAATCAAGAAAAAAATTCTCTTTGCAGTAATATCCAATACCCAAAAAATTTGTCACGACATTTTTGACAAAATCATGAACACAAAAAAAAACAAACGAAATCCTTTTTTTTTCTCTACTGAACGAAATGCTTCCTTATAATTATTAACAATAGTATTACAAAAAAAACTTAAAACTACATGTTAGTATTATGTACAAAAATAATTAAAATCAATGCAGTATGAAAAAGAAATTATGGAAGCATTCGAGGTAAGTAGGTAATGGATTTTCAAAAATTTGATGTGCATAGGTAAAGTTCAACAGATAGCTGGACAGCGCTTGTTTTGTGAAGATAAGTATGATAATGATTGGACGTATCTCTGACCTTTTGTCTTTACAGCTCCAACCTCTCAACATGTGAAATTCCTCTGGCTATACAAGATGTACATCCGGATTGGAGGGATGCTAATAGATGGCAATAATGTAGGCTCCTGACTGGGAGATAATAGTTCTGACTTCTGACCGTTACTTTCGATATTTTTTAATTATATCGAAATAAGAAAATCGGGATATAGCTAAAATAGAACTTTCAATAGAAACTTTATTGCCTACATTTGTTTACTTACGGTTTATGTTCAACCCTATTTCGTCTTGTGGAAAAATTTCCACTAGTGACAATATTTAAATTATAAAAAACTGGTACGCTTCTGAAACGGATTACATTTAAATTACTTGTTACTTAGAATTAATTTACTTACGCTCAGAAGTCAGACTAATACTTAATTAAATGAAACAATGGATCCGTCAATTGACGACAAATAATTTAAATTATATCGCATACGCAATGCAACTGCAATCGCTGAATAACGACAAAAATATGTTTAAATTGTTGTAAATTTCCCAAATAAAATAATGTTTATAATAAATAACAAGAATAAGCCTAGTAGTGCCATCTATATTAAATGTGTCCATTTTTGTAAGGGAAAACTGTACAGTAGTCCGTTACAAATTCACTATCGGCGAGTTTCCTTCAAAGAAAACTGATCTGATAACATCTGTATTATTACCATTTGTGTCCATCCATCCAGCTGTAACTAAATATTAAGGGCTTCCGCCCATTGCACGAGCAAGAAGACTTATAGTATATTAAGTATGGAGAACGGTAAGGGATTTTTACCGTTCGCAGACAATTGTTTGGAGGGGGAGCGGAGTGGTTTAACTCCGTGTGGCAATAGTTTCCTTAAATTTCAATCACAGACAGATTTGAACCTCATTAATTACAAAACCGAGAAAGAATCCCTCTAGCTATAGACGTTGTCTAGTATAAATACAGTCACATCAATCACGCAGGTGGCCACCCATTGCAAAGCTTACGTCTTTTTATTCGCATGAAGATGAAAATATAGTAGCATAATTTGTGTACACCTCACATATTCTTGATACTTAAACACAGGTGCTTCTGTATTCCATAAGGTCTAAGATTCAACGAAAATTCATAATTTGACGATGATGATGGCAAATAATGCTATCGAATACTTGTCAATGTCACAAATACTTGATTTGGAATATGTAATGACTAATCTAATCAGCTCTGCCACGACAACTAAGCGATAAATGCTCAGAATGTACAGTGTTTTGGGAAACAAGTGTCTTGCTCGTCTTGAAACATCATACAATAAAATATAAGGTGCAAAAGAGAGAAAGGGCAATATATTAATATATTAGAAACCCGGTGAGTTATCTTGTAGAAGCTACTTCCTAATCAGCTAAAGTCAAAGTCTGTTTATTCAATTAAAATTCTTCACCATGGATCACTAGATAAGTCTTTCAACTTTCCGAGTAGCCTTGAGTGTTCAGAATCTCGGGGTTTGAAGAAAAGGCTTACAAAGTAGATGCGGCAATGAAATCAAATGGCAAACATGCGGAAACCAGAGACCCATCCAAAAAGGTCTTCAGCGAAAGGGAGTCCCTATTAACCGAACTGAAGAAGGATAAACACTTTCAGTACGTGTTTAACTCATGTCCCGGGATCTTTTGCTTTTCTATGTTGTATTCCGCTTTCAACGACTACGAACGCGATGGATGGTGAGTGTGAGTGTACCTAGAGGAATCACCGCGATCATGAATTCTAGGGCTTACTTTGGGAGCCGACTGGTACTGGCTGCATTCGCCCGGTTTCATGTGGCTCTTTTCATCTGGATGGGCATGTTTCTGAGCTGTCTTGGCGTATATTTCGTTTTTGTGTGTTGGGCAAGTCTACGGAAGCAAACCCAGCATAAAAGTATGCCAGGAAAAATTTAACGTATACTACTTCGATAAGTTACAGAATTAATTGATGGCATCTTTGCTTCTCTGTATCTACTGTACGCGATAGGACTACAATGCTGTGTTATTAAGATGAACTTCACGTACGGCTTGGGCGGGGCATCCTCCATTGCTTTAACTATGGAAATGGTAGAGCTTTCTGTCCGAAAATGTGACTGTGAACTCATTTTTATGTTGTAGATTAGAATTTTAATGAAATCGTACTCGTTCATTCGTACGACAGTTCCCACACACTTGGGTGCCGGAGGAAAAGGTACAGATCTTTCCTTCGCAAGATACCTCTACTTTTTATTCGCACCAACGTTGTTATACAGAGACGTCTACCCAAGGTAATTAAGCACTAGGCTTTCAGAACACTGAACTACTGTTGTATTCCAGATCTAAACGCATACGGTGGGGTTTCATTGTAACCTGCTTAGTGGAAATGGTCATGATTATACTTTTTGCAAGCATACTTCTTGAAAATACTTACATACATCACTTTAGGGATTATGGACTAAAGAAATTTACTTTTTCCCGTATTTGCGCTATATCATTGCAATATTTTGTCGTTGGCCATATTACACTGATTTTGATTTGCTATTTTTGGATGCATAACTATATGAATATCACTGCCGAGCTTCTTCGGTTTTCGGATCGAAAATTTTATGAGGTAGGTATGTCCGTGTTATGGCCATTGTTATAATTACAACGTTATACGTCCCTAAAAGCCATTGCTTATACAGAGGGGAGTTTTGAACAATGCACCATAGGGATTCTGCCCAAAAGATTTTCAGCTCTTCCTTTTATGTAGAGGAATATGCGTACCAGATTTGATTCCTTTCCGTTCAGCCGTAACGGACAGACTGACAGACAGACCGACATCATCGAAATTTCTCTTATAAAAGTTGGGGGTCATTTTTACCCCAATTCAGTACCTCCCTTACTGACCTGCCGGTGGTAAAAAGAAGCATCTTGATGGGGATTTTGTGCGAAATATTTTACTTACGGACAAATAAGACTGCTAGCAATTGGACAAATAACAGTTTAGCAGAAGAAAGTTTCCTCCAAGTTCAAATTTCTCCAAAATTTGCAGGAAACAAATAAGAAATAGTGATTTCTTCCCTTTGCAGATGTCTTCTCATTATTTATGACCAAAGAGATAGAAGGGGTAGGATTCACTTCAATAAAATGCTTATACATATTCTTCATAGTGGTAAAAAAATAAAGGATGCTGTTTTTCTAGGACTGGTGGACAGCGAGCTCTGCAGACGAATTTCTCAGGAAGTGGAACATTGTGGTTTACGAATGGTTACACCTTTTCATCTACAAGGATTGTTACGAACATCTGGCACCAGGCAGAAGGGAACTTTCCAGATTTGTGACGCTATTGCTGGCAGGATTCTATCACGATCTCGTCATCTGCGTCTCGTTTAGGTTATTTTTGCCTATGTTTACGCTGGCGTATGTCAACTTAATTTTAATTCGCAACTTAAAAAGTGGGAGGATATTTGCGACTTTCTCTGCTAATGAAGTGATTTTGTTCCTTACCATTTACACGATCGAATATTACGCGAGGGAAAACTGTCCCAGTGCATCTCAGAGTGTTTTAGATGTCCTGAAACCACGGTTTCTTTACTGTTAAATATAAAAGTTTAAAGAAAGTGTAAGAAAACTAAAACCTAAAAGTTCGTAAATTAGTCAGGTAAACTAGCTCTGATCTGTCACCGGTAAAAAGCATCATTAAATAGTTTGTCTAATGATTACAGCGCATTATTGAGTCTAGAACATAAAAGATGTTAATAAAAACTAGTAGCTATTGAATTATTTTCCTTTTAAAACTGTGGTAGGGTAGTTGATTTGTGTTGTGATCAAATAGAAGAAGACCGACGAAAGCTCTGAAAGCTTTGAAACGGTTGAAAGAGTGAAATCCTTATGCTTTGAAGTAATTGAAGGTATTTTGAACTGTTGAAAGCTGCAATAAACGCTAAGAAATGCTCTCTAACCCTCTAAAAACCCCTACAGATCTTAACCTTTTTTATCTGTCTACCATCCGCCGGTCAGCCGGTGACTAGCATCGACCGACCGCTTTATATAATTGAAAGGGGAAGGGCAACCTTTCGCATCTTGCATAGACCGCATCTTTGTTATCAACCGCCGATTAACTTCGAACGCCTTTTTTCTATCAATCGGTGATTAATAAGTGCAATAAAAATGTAGTAAGAAATCTTCAGAAGTATATATTATACTTTGTTAGTATTTCAAGATCGAATATTGCTAGTCATCTGTAAATAATGTACATATGAATTATGTAAGATAGATAAATAGATACTTTATTTCCACGTTCGCCATTGTATATACACAAAAACAGACAAAAAATAACAATTTGTATATATTCTAATAAATAATAAACCAAAACGAATAAATAAGAGTAGATGAATCGCAGATAAGTACCTCATTAAACAATTGCTGTTGTGTTGAGGTTACCAACACTTAAAAACCAAGCTAGTATCAATTCCAAATGCACTACAAAGAATTAAAAGGAGAAAAAAGACTTAAAATTGCAGTAATTAGTAGTAATTGTATTATGGTATAATTAGAAACACATGCATTACATAATTTTGTAACGTTTATGAAATGGTGAAAAAATAACATAACCTATGGCACGCCATTTTACTATTTAATGACAGAATATAAATTGGTTACAATTTAAAAAAAACAGAAGAAAAATTAATTACATTTATGTCATGACATAATAAGAATTACCAGAATTATTATTATGCCTACGCATAATTTTAATTACGCATTTATTATTATGTCACGAAATAATAAGAAATACGCCAATTGAATTTATGCATTGATTCTTATAATACGGAAATTATTATTATGTACATAATTTTAATTCCTGAACTATTATTATGTACATAATTTTAATTCCGGGATTATTATTATGTACATAATTTTAATTCAGAAAGCAGTCGTGCTACGCTTGACAACATTGCAAATCGTCGAAACGGTAACTGAGACACGGCCTCCAAATGTGATATTTGTGATTATGCAACAAATATTAAACAAAGTCATAAAGTACATCTCTTATCACACAGGGTTTCTAGAGACTTAAAATGTGATATTTGTGATTATGCAACATATATCAAAAGGAATCTTAAAATACATCTTTTAACACATAAGGTTTCTAAATAATTTAAATGTGGCATGGCCACAAACCATATTCGTAAAGTCCCTAGATTGGTAGAGTACCGCAATTGACGCCATTTTGACTCCAACACTTTGGTGGGAAATTTGAAAAGACGTCACATTTAATCTAGATAAATCTACAAAAATTTATTTTCGTACTTCCGGGACTGAAGTGACAACTGCAAATAAAAATTAAAGCTTTTACCAAGCTTTGTTGTATGGAGTTTTGTGGATATAAAGCTTGTTTGGGAACAAATAACTGGTTTTGTTTCAGTTTTTTAAACCAAATAACACGAAACACGTTCTCTCTGGCAAACACGAAAACACGAAAACACGATGACGAATTGACGAATATCAACAGTGATATCAACGAAAGCAGGTTATGATCTGTGGTTATGATATCAACACGATGCCGCGATGCCGTCAGATGTTATCGGCGGCCATTTTAACTCCAAAGGAGTGGACAAATCAATTGCGGTACTCTACCAATCTAGGGACTTTACATATTCGTGCTTTGAAGCGACATCTTGTAACACACAACGTCGCTAAAGAATTCAAATGTGACATTTGTGATTATGCATCAAATATCAAACAGAATCTTAAAAACATCTCTTATTGCACAAGGCTTCTAAAGATTTGAAATGTGATATTTGTGATTATGCAACAAATATTAAACAAAGTCATAAAGTACATCTCTTATCACACAGGGTTTCAAAAGACTTAAAATGTGATATTTGTGATTATGCAACAAATATCAAAAGGAATCTTAAAATAAAATACATCTTTTAACACATAAGGTTTCTAAATATTTTAAATGTGGCATTTGTGGTTATGTATGAGGTATCAAAAGGGAATCTTCTGGCCGTGTGTCAGTTACCGGTTCGGCAATTTACAATGTTGCCAAGCTCAGCATTACTGAGTCCCGAATTAAAATTATGTACATAATAATAATTCGAATAGACATAAAAGGAATTGTATCGAATGTAAAAAAGGGGAACAAAAATGTATTATTATTATGTCATGACAATTGGCAGAAATATTATTATTATGTCTATACATAATTTTAAATACGCATTTATTATTATGTCATGACATAATAATAAATACGGAAAGTAAATTAAAATTATGTAGTGACATAATAATAATACAGCAAATTATACTAATTCCAAAATATTAAAGATATAATTCTTTCTACCTTAGAATATAATACAACTCATGACACTCATTTAATTATCCAACTAATCGTTTTAAGTTATAATTATGTCACGACATAATAAAAATCTATTATTATTATGTCACATGATAATAAAATACATTTGTTTTTATGTATAGACATAATTATAATTCGGGACTTTCCCTATTCTGAGCCGTATATTTTAAATTTATTTTATGTCTAGGCATAAATTTAATACATTAATTTTATGTATAGACATAATAATAATTGTTTTCATACATTTGATTTTTTTAAATAATATAACAAATGTATTATATTTTAATATTTAAACAGTTTGTCACTAAATAGTAAAATGGCGTGCCATAATATCCCCTTAAGGGATTAAAGTGGAACGTTTTTGACCTTGAACATTTTCCTTTTATAGGTTTCTCCTGTTTCGTAATGTTAAAATGATCAGACCGCCGCACCGTTCAATGGGGAAACGTTGACGCTGCATTTTTTGTTCGGAAGCTATGGTCATATTCGAACAGTCGTTTGAATGACTCTAGAGGTCATGAGAAATGGATAAATGTGCGCTGGACTTGAAAATGTATTCTGTTTTTTACGAGTCTGGCAAAATTCGTTAAACACTTTCACCTTTACTTATTCAGTTTGATATAAAAAAGTGCGAGAAAGCATCCCCTGTTGTCTCGCTAAATTTGTGAATTTCATTTGCCTTTTTTTCATTAAATATGAATTAAAGTAGTAGCGCGGACGGGAACACTTCCCCTATTTTTTAATGTACTCTGTATTCTACAAAATATGTTACAAAATACTCCTTTTATTCAATTTGAAGTGAAGCAGTTTACCTGCAGCGAAATGGTACCTTTGTGTTCCAAAGATCTTACTGAATTTGTAAATTACCTGTGTCTTTCTTTCTAAATATGAATTATAGAAGTGCCGCAGATGGGAAAATTTCCCCGTTTTTAGTGAATCCGCAAGATTTCGTAAGCGATTTCTGCACTTTACTTATTTACTACGGACATAGGAAAGCTATTTTGACTCTGTATCATTGTTATTTATCGCAAAACAGGAGATTTATCAAACGACCTCCGTATAATAGAGGGATAAGAATAGAAAGATAACATTTTTGGGAGGCTCCAGTTTGCAACATTTTGTTTCGAACTTGTACAGTGTAGGTACACAAAAAGATATAGGTTTATAACTACAAAAAAAAGCGCTGTAGATTAAAGTATTCAACGCTGGCTGATTGAAATCACTTTGTAAACGAATCTACTCCATTATTTTATTAAACCGCAATGTAATGTGATTCTAGATATTAACTGACGAAGCATAAACTTGCGGATAGGAATTAGGGGTTGTTTGATGTCAAATAATGACGCGTGTATTTGATTCCAATCGAAACGTTTTCTAGAATTACTCGCCTAATAATCGTGAATATTTCATTACCCCGGCAAGGTGAAAAAGCATCACTTCACGATCATGAAACCAAGGAAAGCAGTAATCATTTTCGTGCTCTTGCATACCAGTGCAATGTGTTGGGTTTTAAAAGATACAAAAAATGACGCTTTGGAAAGCTGTCTCGAAAGAATCTTAGACATTAGCGCAAGTGAGACCGATACCATTTTCTTATTAAATCTGAGCGACCAGTACAGAAACTTGAAGATATCCAATCGCACGGTGATTCTTCAAGATGACCTTCAACCCATATTGAATTTCAGCCGGCTGAAGGTCGATGTCTACATAATTATCGCTTCAAGTAGGAATTTTGAGAGAACCGCCTCTTATTTGGTGCACTCTGGTTCGTGGTATCCAGCAGCGAAATTCCTAATAATTTTTGATGATAAAGAACCAATCTACGATACTGTGAGGATTCTCGAGCAATATTACGTTTGGAAGATAGTCATTTGCAAGTGTACGGAAGAAGGCAAGTCCACTGTAATGACTTATTCGTACAATGGCCAATTTGAAGCGATAAGTCCCTGGGACAACGACAAGCCGGTCTTATTCCGTGAAGAACCACCAAAAGAATGGGAGGGTAGAAGTTTGAGAATAGGATACACTTCAGCATGGGAGTCATTAACAAGCGCGCATGACATGGGATCGTATACAACATTTATCTGGAAGTTTACTCACTTGGTTAGTACCAGTTAAAAACTTACTCCAAATGTGCCCCATGACTTTGTTTCAGATTTTGAGTAGACTAGGTGTAGATTACCAATATGTCCAAGTTCCGCGTGGACCTAACGAAATTATATCATCATCCTTTGACTTACGTTTTGTAACGGAAGTGTCACTGACACAATACATGGATATAACCCCTCCTTTACGCATCGAAAGAGTACGCCTTGTGACGCCAACAAGGAAACCTTCCTCGTGGGAGGCATTTACCAAAAACAACGGCATTCACACCCAAATTCTGCAGTGGGTCAGCATGGTCTTGATAGCTGTAATACTATACGCATTCGGCTTACGTAAGTCCCCACCGGACACTTTCTCGTACTGTGTTCTAACAGTTCTTCGAGTAGAACTACTGCAAAATGTGGAGCGCTACCCGAAGTTGTTTATTACTCGTGCGTTACTAATTACTATGTGGTTTTCCAGTCTCACCATTGTGGGGTTAGTTTCAGGAAAGCTGCTGTACTTTCTTTACTATATCAAGCCTGTTCCATCAATTTCTAACGTTCAAGACATTGTCAATCTAAAATACACAGTATGCCTTACAATGCCGAAGAACGAATCTTTGTTGCAAATTTTTTTAGACGAGAAGGATCATCGGAGACTCAAGTACGAGTATTCCACCAACCATTACACTTGTTACCGAAGAGTGGCAGTGGAAGACGTGGTAACTTTATCTTCTGACTTTGATGCAGAACGCATGAAGCTGGAGTACCTATTCTTAGATGAGGGCGGATACCCTCTCCTCCACGTTTTGGAAAATCCGTCCAGGTTCATTTCGACGTCAATCGTTTGCAGAAAGGGTTTGCCAATATTTCAAAAGTTTAGTAGCTCGGTACTCAATTTGCAAGCGCATGGTTTTAAGTTAAACCATTTTCCACCGACACAGCTTAAAGCAAACGTAAGCCGACCCCAACCAAAAGTGATCAAACTAAATCATTTACACCTTACCTTCAAGATACTCTTCGGGGGATTGTGTGTGAGCACTTTATGCTTTGTTGCTGAAATTATAGCGTATCGCCTGTCTACCTTTGGCAAGCGTACCAATAATCGCCAAGGCATTATTGCAAAATTTGTAAAAGGCGGATTTTGCAAGAAAAACTAGCGCTTCAATTTCACACCTCAAATATATTATTATAGTGCACAAAATGAATAGACGTTATTAAGAACGATACTAAACCCCAACGTTTCGCTATATTCGAAATTTTCCCCGGAGTCTTTAAATTTCATTGTACAGCAAAACCGGACCTTGGCTTTATCTGTTTTGTAAAGCACATTACGAAAAATTTCTCTTTCATTGTTGCAATTTAACAAGTGTGAATTTTGAGTGTTTTACCTAAACGGATTTGAAATTTGGTAAAAAGGGTTAGACTTGGAAAGGTTTGATCGAGAAAAAATAAAAGGAATGCCTTTTTTTTAATCCCGAAGAAAAAATTGTCGATCGACTCGGAAAAAAAATTTTCTTATAGAATGTGGCCTGTAGAATCCATAATTTCAAACAGTTCCAAGATTGGGCTACTTGTTGAAAAGTTACAGCCTTTTGAATTTTCTTTCGAAATTGGTTTCTAGTCCATAACTTTTGATTGAGAAGTCCGATCGAAAAAGTACGAATTGTTTTGGATTCTACGCACCAAAATTAATAAGAAAAAGTGTTTTCCCGAGAAATTTTGGTGCAGTCGATTTTTGGTAAAAAAGGAAGGTTATATACTGCCTTTTTTTGAGCCCCGAAAAAAAAATTGTCTCAGATCGACCCGGAAAAAAATTTTCTTATAGAATGTGGCCTGTAGAATCCATAATTTCAAACAGTTCCAAGATTGGCTACTAGTTCAAAAGTTACAGCCCTTTGAATTTTCTTTCGAAATTGGTTTCTAGTCTATAACTTTTGATTGAGAAGTCTGATCGAAAAAGTACGAATTGTTTTTGATTCTACGCACCAAAATTAATAAGAAAAAGTGTTTTCCCGAGAAATTTTGGTGCAGTCGATTTTTGGTAAAAAAGGAAGGTATACACTGCCTTTTTTTGAGTCCGAAAAAAAATTCTCAGATCGATCCGGAAAAAAAAATTTCTTATAGAATGTGGCCTGTAGAATCCATAATTTCAAACAGTTCCAAGATTGGGCTACTTGTTCAAAAGTTACAGCCCTTTGAATTTTCTTTCGAAATTGGTTTCTAGTCTATAACTTTTGATTGAGAAGTCTGATCGAAAAAGTACGAATTGTTTTGGATTCTACGCACCAAAATTAATAAGAAAAAGTGTTTTCCCGAGAAATTTTGGTGCAGTCGATTTTTGGTAAAAAAGGAAGGTTATACACTGCCTTTTTTTGGGCCCCGAAAAAAAATTGTTTCAGATCGACCCGGAAAAAAAATTTCTTATAGAATGTGGCCTGTAGAATCCATAATTTCAAACAGTTCCAAGATTGAGCTACTAGTTCAAAAGTTACAGCCCTTTGAATTTTCTTTCGAAATTGTTAAGGGGTGAAGCTGGATTGAGGTTGATTTTAAAAACATACTTTCGTGGATATCACGTTGTAATAAATTGTTATTTCCTAACCAGGAAATTGCACTAAAAACCAAATTCCAAGATTCCGCTAAGAAGGGAAAGGAGCCGTTTCTCAATCGGTTTTTCGTTCAATAATTGATCTAATTTCATTTCATGCTAGCCGGGGGTAATTTGAAAAATGTTATTGATAAAATTCACATAAGAAAGTGAAAGTTGAGATAGATTAAAAAATCCACCTAATATCAACTCCGTGAAATAAGAACGCCTATTTCAAATGTCTGTTAAAGGTTGAGAACTTTCGGAGACACTCAAAAAGGACTCTTAAAAAAAAACTTTCAAAAGCTTGGCTCTGAAAGATAAGAGAGAATTTCAAGGACCCTAAATGTCACTGCAAGATTGTTGCAGAGACCCATGCAGACCTTAAGGGGCTCTTCAATGCAAGCACTTATATCGTATAAAAGAGTTCTACGGCTTTTAAAGACTCAATGTCTCTAGAAGGTCCTTGGTACCACTTGAATACCCTTCTATGCACTTAGAAACCATTAAAGCTCTTAAAGGGCCTTAAACTTAAAGTTTGATAAGCGAGCTTTAATAGGAATCTTTCTGAGATCTGAAAAGATTGGTATAGCATCACGTTTGACTGGTACAGATAGCGATAAATTGCATAGTCTAACAATATACCTTGGATTATTTGGATAAAGAGGTCGTTATAATCTAGTCTGTGTATTTATTTATTATCTATCTCTTGTTCTGGGCCCTAAACAGGCTTGCGCCCAATTACAGTGACCCACATAATGCTTTTTAAAGGTGCCACTGCAGAAGATCGTAAGTTGTTCCCGTATTTACCTTACGGATTAGGAAACTGCAGGAAAACCTAATTCGGAGTAGTCGGCAGAATGCTCAAAACCGATCTAAGGAAATTCCTATCTCTGTCACAGATGAAAAATTCTTATCTCAGTCCAGGTTCGAACACCTAACCTCCGGTTATGTAGCCCAACGCTCTACCAGTAAGCCACGTGGATGGTTGATGTTGAAGAGAACCTGCAGAATGTAATGGCGAAGGATTGCAGAGAGAGGATTAGAAGATCAGAAGAAATTTAAATTGGAGTTTATCGAAATACGAGTATAAGTAGAAGTGTATTCGGAAGATCAATCTAACAATAGAGTAAATGAGAGACACTCGAGAAATCCCAAAAAAGGGAAAATTATTAGGAGAGGAAAAATATTGCTATCAATCTAGTATTTCTACGGTGTAATAATAATAATGAAGTGGAATTTCTGATTGTATCTAAAATAACTTAAATTTTCAATTTTGTGGTGTCGTTGTTTGTAAGATTGCGTAAATTGCTACGTCGGAAGTTGTTACCTCGAGTTATGAATTTATTACGTATTCAAACGTTAAACAAACTAGAAGGTATATTAGGTACGTAGCAAATAATAAAGTTTTGTGAGAACCTTTGGGTGTATAAGCGTAACGAGGCAGAATTTCACTTGATAATCTACAGTGCGTTCGAGATAAGAGGGTCTCAATATCTCTTTTATTTGGCGAGATATGAAAAATTTGTTAAATATAGTTATATCTGATCGCACAATCAAACTTCCGGTAGCAGTTCCTGTGTAACCGCAAATTGATGCAACTTTTGTTTTTCAAATGCAATGCATAGGTATATTTTTTACGATGTGAAAAGAGCAACCAATTTGGTGTACGACAACATAAAATATGCATATGGTTGATATACAAAAAAATAGAGAAATTCGTTTTTCAATATTTGGAAACTTTATGAAATCTAGCATGCCGTGTGCTGTGTCAGGAAACTCAGGATGCATGTCCCTGGGGAGATCATACCGTGCAATAGTAAATCTTAAAAACAAAACATTGAACAAGATATTGTATGTCTTTTTCTGTGTGATAGGTATGGAACACGGCATGCTAAGTTTCATAAATTTTCTAAATACTGAATCACGAATTTCTCAATTTTTTTGTATATGAAACACATGCACATTTTATGTAGTACGGAAAATTTTAAATATCTTAAATAACACAATATAATCATTGTATTTGAAAAACAAAAGTTGCATCGATTTCCGGTTAAACCGGAAGTGGCGCCGCAAGATTGAATATTGGATCAGGCAGATCGTAATATCACAATATAAAAATATGTTTGTCAAATTTCTTGTATCTCGCCAATTAATCTAGAACGCACGTATAGTTTTCAGATAAAAATTATTGTTAGACGTTTTCTTTTTAATATTGTTAGTTGTAATTCGTTCATTATTTCAATATAGTAACGTTAATTTAATTTTGTAAGACAGCTTGCGTATAATGGCAAGGATATTTCTCAAGCTATAATTTATAAGAAATTAAAACTTCTTAAAATTGAAACGGCGCTATTGTCATTACCGAGTCTTCAAAACTCCTAATTAAATTTTAAAGTTAATTAAGATCGTATTTCTCAAACGCCTTCGCGCTTATCTTTCAAGCTTTCATTAGGCACTAATTAACATGGAGGTGCGCCACTTTTTTTCACTTATCACTCAATTGGATCATGCGAGATAATCTCAAAGACTCAAAGATATCTAAACCTGATGGTGGGAAAGGGCGGTAGCGTTCGCAAAGCCCAGGCGTCCCGACGCCTTTCAGTGCGCATTTGGTACCGCAGCGGCACGGATCGTTCGTATTTGAGAAAAAAATTACGCGAAATGTGTGGAAATTAGAACGGAGGATTTAATACGGTGAGCTTTCAGTACTTTAGTCAAACTTAACTTTGGTGGTTTAGACTAACCACATCTTGAGCTGCACTAACAATCTTCGGATATGTTTAACTTACGAGATTAATGACGTGGTAGAGAGCTTTCATATGAATCATGTTTTTAATCAAAGAGAATTATATATCGCAAGCGTCTAATTAAAAAAAGGTGAATAAGGGCATATAAATCTTGTTTTCCTAACAAAATTGCTACACATCTTAAACAAACAGAAAAAAAATGTGTGGTTAAAATAATCACGACCAATAAACGCTTGGGTTAATTTACGTTATAAAAGCTTTCTGTGGTTTTCATACCGGTTGGCCAATATCAAGGGGGTATTTTCTGTCTTATTAAAAGAGTTATGGGCCTTGGATTGAAATTATGCCAGAAAGTAAATCCGTAAAGTGTAAAACGTTGTTAAATGACATCGCAATTACAAGATTTGGAAAAATAATTTATCACCTCAGGGATAGTATAATATAATATGAAATAAAAGTATCTTAGGGGCAGTTTTGAATGATTTTAAAATATATTGAGATTAATAATTAAAATTTACTTTAACTACATGGGAACATTTCAATCTTCGAACACCGTATATGGACCTTTTAACCACTAAATAACAGAAACATGTTTCGTTCCATTCGCACCAACTCAAGCCATTTGTTATTTACGCACATTTTATTTAAATGTGAAATTGCATTATTAGATGCTGCACTTTTCGCAGTACTCAATCTTTATAGTTTTGTATAATATTTCTTTTTTATATAGGACAATTTAGTAAAGGTATTCGTTTTCGTTTTTAATAAGAATAAGACTTTAGAAAGTAGTATTTTGCAAATTCGAAATTAGTCGATATTTTTTTAATGGCCTTATAACTTTTAATGGAAGTTGGAAATAATTAATTTTCTGATTTTATAATAAATTATAAGTACGTAAATTTAAAATAAACTGATTAAAAGACTGTGATTCGCCAATGAGGAGTCAATATTACTTTTTTCTTAGAACGGTTTCGTTAATATATGACAAAAACAATACGTAATTTTGATACGTAGAATATACCTAGTTTTTATTCGTATTTTAGAGGTTGTTACATGTTAAATTCACCCTAAGTTACTAATGGGTCATACTATATATGATGTGAACGATGTGTTGCATATTCTTAGGATATTTTCGTCACTAGCTATCATATAGGATGTCATAGGTTACATGAAGACATACCAAGTCGTTGAGGGCTTCAATAACTGGCTACCTAACTTAAGCGTGGACTGCGAAGATGTTGACGATGTCTAAGTAACTTCCGATATCAGGGACGCTATATGCTACGGGTACGGAATGACCAACAGGTGACACGAACTTCAACCACTTTGTTTTTCCTAGGTCTCGGACAACGTACCTCTCACTAAAAGCTATAAACTACTCATAGAATGACACAAACGACGTTGGACAACTACATACCCAGTTCGGCTTTAAAAGTAAGCGGCCTTTAAATCCCCAATACTGGGTAAAATTAATCAATGTATGCCTAACTGGCTCAATATCACAAAAATCAATTAATTTATGAATGCTTGTGCAACTAAAGATCGGTTAACGAATTTTTCTTTCAAAATTTGTATAGTTTGCACAGCAATGGCCGTTCATAATCTGCCTTTTACAACGGTCTCCTTTTTTAAAAGATAATCTAACTGGAATGTGACCTATGACATCCTATATGATAGCTAGTGACGAAAATATCCTAAGAATATGCAACACATCGTTCACATCATATATAGTATGACCCATTAGTAACTTAGGGTGAATTTAACATGTAACAAGGTTACATTAGGTATTACCATTGAATAAAAACACTATTTTATTCAATGGTATTACATTAAAGTAAACCAATATTACCTGTATGTTAAATCAAAGTTTATCAAATTGTTGCTAAATGAACGTTGATTTATATACATATTATCAACGTAGAACATGATCTCTATGGTTTATATATATGAATTAATATTGTATTTTAAACGTAGGGTATAAAATTGGTCTACAAAAAAACGTTTATTATACTACAAATACCGAATTTATCCTATCAAAGCGCTTAAAAAAAGTTTGCTTGCTGGGGCGATGATATTCGCGTTCAAATGTCCAACAAATTTACATGCAGTAACTAATAAGTAAGTAATTTTATCGTCAAAGTTATGCGTTATTTTTCCGCACAGAAATGTAGTATAACTATACGATAAAGTGTCGTCTGAAATATTAACGTTTTACGCAGATCTAATTTTTCCATACTTTGCTTACATGTTTTTTTTTATTGAAATGAAACATTTTGCTAACGTTTTCAGAATCACGTCACCATTTTGCTAACGTTTTCAGAATCACGTCACCTTTAGCCTGATGCCATTTATTGGGTTGTAAGGTGGGTGGACTAAATTTTACTAACATAATAAAGTACTTATGTACACTCAGTCAATTTAAGGCGATACGTTATTTTAGCGTGAATATTTTGAACAAAACAATGTACCTGGTCCGAAGCGCAAAACTTGTCCACGTGAACGACAATTATACTTAAAAAAAAATTACGTATTTTATACGTGTCTAAAACATAATAATCATACGTGAGATCTAAGTGTCGAAGTTCACTTATATAGATAGATAATCAAATATCCGTCTATTTAAACATAGAGTGAAATATTTGAGAAAAACAAAACGTTTCCTACGTAAAAAACGTAAATATGGAGCGTAACACTTTGTGTCGAATTAAACGATTATTATATGTCAAAAATAGGATAAATGAAGTATGCCTTTCAAACGTTGTCAAAAAGCGATACTGATACGAGAAATCTTAGTGATGTAGTTAACCCATATTAGTACCTACAGGAAATGAGGGTCTTCCCCTAGCAATTTTTTTAAAAAGAAACCACCATTTTGAAACAAAATAGAACTATGCCTTTCAAACGTTGTCAAAAAGCGATACTGATACGAGAAATCTTAGTGATGTAGTTAACCCATATTAGTACCTACAGGAAATGAGGGTCTTCCCCTAGCAATTTTTTTAAAAAGAAACCCCCATTTTGAAACAAAATAGAACTATGCCTTTCAAACGTTGTCAAAAAGCGATACTGATACGAGAAATCTTAGTGATGTAGTTAACCCATATTAGTACCTACAGGAAATGAGGGTCTTCCCCTAGCAATTTTTTTAAAAAGAAACCACCATTTTGAAACAAAATAGAACTATGGGTTATAAGTCAAAATAAAGAGTATTAAAATAAGCTTCTTCCACTAGAAAATAAGTTCAGATGTCACGAGCTATAGCGATACGATTATTCCGGGCGCGGTCTTCCGGTACTTTTTCCATCGCACACAATGCATGCAAACACGGAGGAGGTTAAACATGTAACGAGTGGTTTGATTTCGCGCCAAATTTCATTAAAAATTTCGAAATTTCTTGTCATGATAGTGAAGGTCACCCTGTATATTTCATTATTTGTTCCGGTTAGAAATTTTGTGTTTGGGCATTTCGGTTCGCTCAAGACTATGGTCCGATAGATTTAATTTCGCTCAGATTTAATTTCGTCGTGGGAAGAGTGCAAAGCTGATTGACGTCATCATGAGTAATGCGAGTTTTTTGTCGTTCGTTTATCAACTTTGGCGCCGTCTAGACCGAGAATAGGAGCGGATGTAGCACCGAGCCGTCAGGAGATAAGGAGTTTTTCACGTCATCAGCAGAAAACCGTGAGATCAGTTTATTCAGCAGTTCCTGGAGGTTGACGACGAAGTTAGAGTGGGTTAAGTCTTCTTTATCTAAACCAATGGGAGAATTTCTAGCGGGAGCCATTTTTGTTTTATGGTAATTTGGGTGTGGTTTTTTCATTTCAATTCTGAAGAAGGGAGCGTTTTAGAAAAGACTCGCGGTTAGTACGTCAAGCGGTCAACACGTACCTTGAGTGATCGTTTTTTTTGGGAAGACTCGCAGTTAGTACGTCAAGCGGTCAACACGTACCTTGAGCGATCGTTTTGGTACACTTGGCGGTTTGAGCCACCGGCTTATTTCGGTTGCTCGCAGTTGCGTGCTTTTTGCACCCGTTTCGAAGTGTTATTTTCTTTTCGCGTTGATTTTTTGGCGAAGAAGACCCAGGTTCCAATCAGGTGATATTTTGGCGAACCCTTGAGCTTCACCCCAGTTTACTTTGGATGCAGTGAATCGCGTTAGGATACGTTGTGATTTCTCGAGGATATATAAGTCAAAGTGCTGCCCAAGTCCTCAAGGCGCAGAATTTCGGGATCTGCCCCAGGTGGAATTTCCTACTAGTGCCGTACGGTCATTTGTCGAAGGAGCGCTGCGTTTCGGAGAGATATTTGCCCCAAGAACAGCTGGTGAAATAATACGTCGAACCATCGCGGTTTACCGTCGGATAGTGATCATAGAAGTTTGTGTTCTGCCGTACCGCTAACTCAAAAAACCGTCTCCCGCAGGCGGTCAAAGCTAATAAACTAATAAAATAAAATTAAATACACGTGCTGTGTAGAAACTTTGGCAACTAGCCGACTCCCACTCGCCACGCGAAGGATTTCCTGGACTAAGTTTCAGTTCAAACGCTAAACTTTGCTTTCGTTCCGAGGAAGGATAGGCACCGTGGATTTTTGTTTCCGTGTGTTAAATTCAAGCCACCCCCTAGGAAGTCACAGAGACCTAAGTGTCAGGTTTCATCACATCCACCCTGTACCAGAGGAAAGAGCAGTTCACAAGATCGGCTGTACAAATGTTGTAAAGGTTAGTCTAATTAAATTTGTAACATTCTGTAAAATTCCACTTTTTGGTAATTAAGCTATAGTAAAAAATTTTTGATTTGATTGTTTATTAAAGTCCAATGAACGATTACCAAAGAGTAGGATAAATTTTGTGTTTATTTAAATAAGTCCCAGCCCACGCTGGATTAAAAAACGATTACCTGTTGTTGCAATTTTCAAACTGTAGAGGATGGCCACCCCTTGAGTAAATTAGTTTCACCTGATAGGATTTTTTATTTAGTTTAGTTGTCATTGTTAAGCTAGTGGTTTTTACCAGGAGGAGAGAAGAACTGCTAGATCCCTGTAAATTGTTTGTATCTCTAATATCATTTCAATATATTATCTATTTGGTTCCAATGTGCCTATGTCTTTAACGAAGAACGAGGGGAAGGAAAGGGAGGAGTAGGAGTTGAGGCAGGAGATTGGTAAGCGGCAGGTCAAGGTTTGTTACGCAGTTTCAAAAGAGTTAAAAGCCCACCGATTTGAGTTAGCCGGAGCATTTATTTTTATCGATTGAGCAGCCTAAGAAGAAGACGGTTTGCCTTGCCGGGCGGAACCGATGGTAATCTTCAAATCCAGAAGGAACCCCCGTAGCAAACACCATATTTCGTTCCAAATGCAAACTGAACAAAACTGTTGTCGATAGTAAAATATTAATCTTTTGAGGGTAAATAGTTTTTTTTAAATTAAACCACAATAGCCCTAGCAACACAGTTCCGTATAAAAAGCGTTTATTGTAGACTAAAACCCTATACGTATATAATACGCATAAATGTCTGGTGGATGTTGCTGAAGTCTTGTAGGAATATTATGCGTTTATTATTTCTCATTGATTTACGATTTATATGCGTATTAAAGTGGTGTTATACACGTTTATAAAACGAATGCTAAAAAACGGTTATTTATATACATATTATTAACGTAGAAAGTTTTTTAGATGGTTTATTAATATATAAATAAAAATCGTATTTTAAACGTACCTAGGGATAAAATCGGTCTACACAAAAACGTATACCATACTGATACCAATACCGAATTTATCCTTTTAAAGCGCTTTAAGACCGTTTTTACAGGTAAAGTGTATTGTTGCCTGTGAGGTGTTAATTTTTAAGGGTTGAAATATTTTGAAGTAATGTTCCAATTTCCAAAGGCTCTAACAATCATTACTCAACTCGTCTGAACCAACTTTTACTCACCTTAAGCTTTAATATATAGTTTTATGGGTTTTGGGGAAAAGGGGTAGTTTTTACCCTTAAAAAATAAAGACCGCCCGTCGGAGTAGTAGAGATTTTGAATTGGAGGTTGGATGGTATGTAGTTTACGATTAATTTGATATTGCTAAGCAATTCTCCTGCATGTCCCTGAGTCAAGAAATTATACCTACTTTAGAGTACCTCAGGCAAGAATTTATTAGACTTCGCACATTGGAAAATAAAATGGATAGGTCTCTAGAATTTGCCAAACTTTGTAAAGAAAAGTTCAAAGACATACATACAGATGATGTCATCTGAAGATATCACTAAAAACATTCTCTCGTTTCTTTTATTTGTCTCAAGAGATTACATACTTGTATAAAACCATCTACAATTACGCTAAATTAGAAAGATCGTTTAAGTAATTTATTTAGCTTTTCAGAAGTGGGAAGGAAAAGAGTATGAATGAAGAAGCTGTGCTTAATTATCTTCAAAAATTTCTTTCACAGAATATTTGGAAAATACCTTGTTCATGGTCTCTTTAAATAATGCGCCTAGGGCGGCTATTTCGCCTGGGATTGTAGTTTCCATAAACGCCTCAATATTTTCATTTATAGTTTTGTCAAAGACCTCATTAAGATTGTCATTCCCTTTGAAAACTTCACCCATGTGAGCTTCAAACTTTGCCTTAACGAGTTCAACATGCACATCGTTTACTTTTATGTGCTCTTTGTCATTCTGCAGATATGTTTCACAGGTCACGTTGACCAGCATGGTGCTATTGGCTAAAATTATAAATGACAAATGAGTTTGCACATTGGATACACGAACTTGAAGTCCCATTCCCTATTCCCTCTGCATCAACCTCAAGATGTGCAAGTTGACCTTTTATCGAATAGTTTGCACTAAAGAATATAGTAGGGTAAAATGTCTCCAAGTATATATTGCATTTATCCAAATCTGTTCTGCAAATGCCATCGGTTAAAAATACGGTGTTGCACCAGAAACGACTCACCTAAACTGCATGACTTTCAATTTTGATAGGTGTTGGTATATGCCATTTGAGTACTTCTGATACAAACTTACAGGACCGGGAATTGGCTGATACTCCTGCGGTGGTATTGACAGTGGATCGATAGGTTCAATATTCAACTCCTCGAGCCCTTTTTGTCTGTCTTTCAAAGTGCTAATCCTATATGTATACGTACTCACCATTTCCTAAGTTCAAAATTGCATTCTCCACGCTCGATTTTAAACACTCGTTGTCTTCAATTTTGCACCTCTTGAAAATTTTGGCTGGAATTACAGCAGAATTAGCCCTTAGGAACGGTGCAGGTTTACTCACGCAAGGATCCGCATGGTGCAAAGATGACGAGACAAAACGCGAGTTGTGCACAGAAACGCATTTTTCTTACAATGCAAATTGCGTGGTGTACACTTTTTATACCAGTTATTAAATCAATTACTATGCAAATAGAACTTGTTGTCCAACAAGCCACATTTGCAAACCGCTTCAAGTTGCCAAACATGATAAAAAAAAAGGTAGCAAGGTAACGTCAATGTTAATGGTGTAAGTTAACTATTGAAGTCGTATTTTAAATCAGACCGACAGAAGACAACAATTAAATTCTCAAAATCCACCGCATAAACGGTCCGCTACCTCAGGGACGATAACGTACAACAGGACATCAGATACTTCATAGGTGTTAGTTGGTAGGGTATAACAACCTTCGTAAACCTCCTCGTGTCTTACTAAAAACAGTTGAGCGCCACCCACTTCCTGTAAATGATCATGATTCTTGTATGAAACGAGAAAGTTTAAAGAATTGCGTTCAATTACGGCTTTACAACTAAACAGAGATCCTCGAAATGTAAAGTTATTATTACAAAATGGCGCCAATAATGAACGTACAACTATCCCATAAAATAATCATGAACTTCTTACTTTTAAATGAAGAAGGAAGAAAGCTCTGTTCCGCCGTTTCCAGCAATTTCACTATAAAAGAAGAAACAAGGAACTGGAGCTATCCCACTCGGTAGTTGGAATGAAGATGCCTTGATGAGCCCCCACGATCACGACTCGATAATAACTCAATATTTAAAGAAATTAACATTGGTATGATCCCTTGAAGAGGAATTAGCTCTTAATTAAAAATTTGATAACATAAATGGTCCCAATTTCGTTATTGCCGTTTCAAGAGCTGTTTGTTGGTGTTACAGATCTCAGATAACAAGTTGTCTATGTACACACGGCTGCAATTCCCGAATTTATTTACGCGAGACAGGACAAAGTGCAATTGTCCAGGTATCAAGGTTAAATAAAGCTGGAAATGATAATTAATTAAAAGAAAAGGAAATTATGAGCGTACTAGAATTGAAACTATAAACTGAAGTTGAAAAGCCTTCCAATTAGGTTGTTTAGAAAATAGTACTACTAATAAGGCAACAGTTGAAACTTAAATCCTCCTCCAACATTAGAAAAGTGCATATCGATCAAAAACAATTCTAGATCACATGAAATTCTGTTAATCGAAGTTCAAAAGCTCAACAATTTCATGATCTCAAAATAAGGACAAGGAACACTTCAAAATTGTATAATTTGCAAATTAAGAATCCCATTATTTCGTAGCCGTTTTTCGATAGATCTTCCGGCTTCCGAAAGAATTTGGTGGGGTATCGTCTGAATGAAAATGATGACCATAAAAAAATGAATTGGGAGAAAATTGATTGATTATTGAAAATAAAGGTAGGTTCTGCCACTGATTATATTCAAAATTCCATTTGCAAATAAAGTGAAAAATTACAACCAACCTGCAGATAATCGCCCTTTCGCCCATGAAAAGGAAGACCACAAAGAAATAAATTGGGAGGGGGCGACCTATTTTGACCGAAAAGTGTAGCTATGCTGTTATTTATTATGAATGTCTCCATTGTTTATGTTAATTTATTAGTAGTTTACACCTCATATATTTTATAGCAAGGCCTTATGATGGCAATTCCAGCCGAAATCGATAGCCGTAAACAAAAAAATATAAACGTTACCACCATTATAACTATTTATTAAAATTGTAGCTAGGCTGATTATTGGAAATAAAGGAAGGCCACTGACTACTTTCAAACTTCCATTTGCAAAGAAAGTGAAAAATTACACCCAACCTGCAGATAATCGCCCTTTGAAGGTGGTGTGCTCAGAACTTGCTTTATTAAATTTACTTATCCGCCTAGCGGAACTAGCCTTAATCTTTCATAACTGCTCTTAATTAAACACAACTTATTTATCATTTGTCCGTTAAATGTAGGATTATATACTTGCAGATTGCCTTGATACATAATGTAGTTGAAAGTGTCTTTATAGTATCTTTGCCAATCCCGTAGCGTTATAACTTTTACTACATGAACTTCGAATGCAGCAACGCCAGCAACCCTACACAAAATACTGTACGTTAATCTCAAAGCGCTTGAGGGATGGTTTTGAATTTGCTACCGTATGAGAAGATAGCGGAATAATAAACAACACTGGTATTATACGAAAATTTCTGCGAAACGAAAACGAAGCAATATGTTAAGACACGCTAACTACGTAAAATAACACACCCTCCATTAGGGAAAAGAGTCGTAATAATGGAGTACCTACATGATACCAGTTTCCTTAGTTTTTCGTCGTCTGTTTCCTTACAACCTGCCGACGTTTTCCGTAAAGCAAAACGAAATATTTCTCTTCTTATTACTTCGTCAATCACCAAGCACCCCAATTTTGCGTCCCGAAATTAACTAAATTTTGTGCGGACAAGGCTTACCTTAACATTCTTTAAAGTTTCAAGCCTTAGCGCCTTGTATATATGCTCATACATTAAAATTGGGGTGTAAAAACTGCTCCGATTCACAAACAAGCTCCTGCGGGAGAGTCAAACAAATTTTGCAAATTAATATGTGCTAGCTTCATTCAGAGACAAAAATTTTCTTGTTAAAATTTGGTTTTCACTTTGAAAGTTGCTTGTTGGGTATAAGTCTGAGGTGGAAATGTGCAAACTGGTGCATTGATGTCGAAAACCAGCAACTCAATTCACACATTTATTTATTTATTTATCCTATTTTCCCTATCGTCGCCCCTATATTATTATTTAATTTTCTACAGAAATTGAAACCTAATTTTTTGCTATTGTGATTTCCTAAATAGTAGAGAATAAAGATTCCCCTTATATTGGCACCTTTTCAAGACTGGCAAAAGTTTCTTTTAATTTATACAGTCAGTGAAAAAATTTACTTATTACCCTATTCTTTAAAAAAGAACCAATTTTAAACAAAAATAAAAAACGAAAAATTGCGGTACCTTTAACCTAACGTTCTTTGGAGTAAATGGTCCCCTATAGCAACGGTACAGCCTTTCGTGTACCGGGTGGCCAAATAAGAATGAGCCTTCCAGAACACGTGCTCTGTTTTGGAACATACATACTCGCTGCAGACTGTTGTTTACTTGCTACGTTATATCTCACTAAACTCTTCCTTTCCCCATTACTTCGTACGGTTCTACAACTGGGTTTATTCAAATTTGCCCCTTTTATAATAATTCGCTAAATTAAGGTGGAAATTAAATGTAACGTTGGATGACTGGTGAGAATTTACATTACTAACTTTACCTATTTACGCATGGTGGAACTACCCTTAGTCATTCATTACTGTATGGCTGCCTTTATTAAAGATTACTAAACTACTGTTACTCGAATGTTACACAAATGGGAAGATCACAAGGAAATAGAGACAGCGACCCGATTTTGACAAAAAAGTTGAACTAAGCTAAACATTGGAGAATGTAAGGAATTCTGGCAAGTGAGTAGATTCAATATTCTCCAATAAAGTGAAAAGTTAAACCCAACCTTTAGATAATCGACCTTTGAATTTGTTGTGCTGAGAATTTGCATTATTAATTTTACTTGTGCGCGTAGCGGAAATACCCTTAATCATTCATAATTGACGACTGCTCTTTATTAAAGCCTACTTATTCGGCATTTTGCTCGTATAAAGTGATTATACTTGTAGATTTTGCCTTCCAACTTTATACCGAAGTAGCTTCTGAGCTTACGGGGGTTGGTACATAATGTACTTGAAAGAATCCCTCGAAAGCCCACAGTCTTACACGATGTAACTTTTAAATGTATCCAAACTTCGAATCCGGCAGCGCAAAAAATGCTATACTATTAATCTCGAGCACTTGAGAGATGGCTTTGAATGTCCCAGAGTGTGACACAGGAATAATAAACGCTGTGCTTTTACTAAAGTATCATAACGAAAACGATGCGGTAGGTAACAAAAGCGAAATGCGTAGGTTAGCCCAGCTGCCATTAGTGAGAACAGCTCGTAATAGGAGCTACTTCCTTGGCCTTTTGTTATCTCGCACAAAAAAATTCTCGTGAAGTCATATCTTCCTCTTTTCATTAATTCGTCGATTACCCAGTAAAAGCGCCTCATGTTATGAAAAGTATTTACACTTTACGCAGGATTTTACTCCCGTCCAAAACATAATGCGTACCGAGCAATAAGAAGTAGTCCCTTCAATAATTACAAGATAAATGAGACACCATCGACCAGGTTTACACAATCTGCATGATTTCAGGGGCATGAGCAAATGGCATGAATTCTCAGAACTCTATCGGATCTACAGTATGTACATAACAGAATCAATACAATATATGTATAGAAGGTACAGAATCTATATATTAACCCGGGAGTCACAAGATATTAAGCACCACAGAATCAACAAATTCTACAAAATTTGCTGATTATCAAAAGTACCTATACACGATCTATGGGCTGTAAGTGACATAATATCCCTATAAAATGCACAGAATCTACACATTTCGATACGGAACCTACATTTGTAACCGGTCGAACCGGTTCAAAAAGTAAAAGTAAAGTACGAAATGTCTGGTGTAAAGACTGAGCCAATAATTTTCACCTTTTTTTAGCACAACCCACGAAAGTAGAGCGGTTAGTCCTCCATTTTTACTCATTCTGCAGTATAATTTTGCATCAACAATTCCCACTGCAAAGGAACATTTTGATTGGTACATTCTTAAAGAGATCAACCAATGGGCTATTGAAGGTGTTTTGTATTGCATGTATTTTGCCATTTAGAAAACCACTAGGATTTAATTTGAAGAGATTCCTAATGTGTTTTAAGGGTATTTAAAAAGAACTCTTAAAATTGAGTTCTTTCAAGGATTTAAAAAAATATCTGAGATTGTAATTCAAATTTAATGGGCTACCAAACAATATTTAACTCATTTCAAAAATTTCGCTTACGGAATATGTTGAAAATACCTTGTTGGCGTAATCTTTAATTAATGCGCCTAGGATTTCCATTTCGTCCTCTTTTAAAATCTCCAAAAATGCTGCGATATTCTCATTTACACTTTTATCAAACTCTTCATTAAGTTTATCATTCCCTTTGAAAACGTCACCAAAATGAATAAGAATCTCTCCCCAAACGAAGTTAGCCTGCAAATCGGTTACTTTTATATGCTGGTTGTTGTTCTGTTGATATTTGACACATGTCATATTGGCAAAAAGCGTTGAATTTGCTGAAATTGTAAATAATCGTTACAGCTGAGTTTACAGGTCGAGTTGACCTACTAGACGTCCCAGTTACTGTACCATCTGAGTCAATTTCTAAGAGAAAAAGTCTCCCTTTAATGGAATAGTCTCCACTGAAAAATATGGTAGGAAGAAATGCTTCTAAGTACATCTGGCATTTATCCAAATCTACCCTGAAAATACAAACGATGAGAAAAACGGTGCTCCAACTAAGAGCTACCCACTTAAACTGCACAACTTTCAATTGTGTAAAGTTCCGGTACATGCCATTTGAGTACTTTTGGTATAAGCTGATGGGACCAGGAATTGCTTGAACTTCTATAGCCGGCAGCACTAGTGGATCGAGGGGTCCAATCTTCAACTCCTCCAGCCCTTTTTTAAAAGTTCAAAGTACCTTCTCCACGAATACCTACTCACCATTTCCCAAGTTGGAAATTGCGTACTCCACACTGGATTTTAGGCACTTGTCGTCATCAATTTTGCACCTCTTGAAAATGTTAGCTTAAATTACGATCAATTAGACTTCGAAAAGGCGGCGAAAGTTTACTCACGCAAAGCTAGGCAAGGTACAATGATGGTCAAGTAAAACGCTACTGGACTGAAATGCATCTTCTTTAGAACGCAAAGTTGTTGAACTATTCAGTATTTATACCCATTACAATTAAATGACGATAATTACAATTCGATTATGATGACAAATTGCAACAATTACCTCTTCTGTGTAATAAAGGCGCACTTTTATGCGGACCGCTCTAAATTCATTGATCATTAATGCTATTCAAAAAAGCAACGCCGACGACTTACCGCCAGAAATTCAAGTTTGAACGTACGGCCCAGATTTCGTTTTTCGATTATGGGTGGATAATGAAGCTTGTAAGGCTGAACCATTTAAACAAATTAACCCACCGGCCTTCATTTAGTGTCGTCAATACTAGGCTATAAAGTACTGAGGTCAAAATAAATTTACAGCATCGCAAATGTTATCATAAAAAGAGAGTCCAATTTGCGTCAACCAAGAATCTTTATTGGATCGATTACCATTTGCAAATTACATGAATGATCTAGTTCTATATCTTTAGAAAAAGGGGTCTTGACAAAGCCAAAGGTTTCAGTTTCTTCAGACTCGATCCACCGTCTTCAAAGCTTTCCCAGCCTTTGGCACTCGTAAATCTTTCACTCGACTCTGGAATGCTTTTGGGCCTTCAAGGTTCTCAAGATCTCTATTCTTAAAAGAATTTAAGTTTGGGTACAGCTTTTAGAGTGCCCCAAATCCTCTTTTAGTCCTCAACGTTATCGCAGACGTTTAGGCTGTGAACATTTCCGTGTCTGTTTTTAGAATCTCTAATATTTTCATGGCATTAAAGCACCTTATTTCAGTAGCTTCTCGGTACCCAAAGTTCATTGTGAAATATTTGAAATTTTTCATCTTTGGAAAATGTAGTGTTCTCGGAATTCTCTGAGTCAGCAAGACCTTAAAGGTCTCAAAAATCCTCAAAGCCAGTCAGTTCGTCCAGGGCCCAAAGTGTGGTCAATATTTATCGCCCTTAGGATCATCTTCAATTTTTTCGATTTTGCAAACTTGGGTAGGAGGTCCTCAATAATATCTTAATTGTTCTTCTTTAGTCTTCACACTATTTAGCGTCCTCTGCCGCCAGATTCTTTCGAGTTTCCAGTTTTTTGTGCAGTAAGAATATTCAGAACCTTAAAAAATATTTGCAGCCGTACGAAATTTTCAGGCCTTTTAGAAATTTTGAATCATCCCCGGTTGTTCGACTCTTTTCCGTCTGAAATTATTGCTTCACAGCCTCTTAATACGTTGAAGACTGAAAATAGTGGCTCAGCTCAGCAGGTTTTCAAGTTATTCAAGATTTTTCAAAATTATTGACATTTGGCTGCTATTCTTTTGAACCCTGTACCTATGGGTCTGTTGACTTCAAAAAGTCTTCTAAAATCTCTGAAGATTTTCTCAAGATTTCTTGATTCTTAACTTTGATAAACAATGTTTTAAGATGTTTTGAAGATTTTGTGAATACTTTATGAAATACAATCAATTTTTGCTCAAAATCATCAGACTGCCTTAAGATTGCCGTACGCATCTCGTATCTCTCCGAATATTCTCTGAATACCATCTAATGATGCTGTGAAGATTTTCGGAGGATTGAGCTTTTTTTGAGCATTTAAATTATAAATTGTTGTTTTTCAAGTAAATATAATATGAAACTATACGAATGTCTTTCACATTTTAAATTATATTTGAAGTAGTTGAAATTGTCGACATTTCATACGTACTTCTGTTTCAACGAAAGAATTTCTAAGTGCTTTAATGTTTCGAAAAGTATTTGAAGGTGCTCCTCGTCTCCCAAAACTGACAATCAATTTTCATCTGTCAAAAGTTTCCGTGAGTTTGATAAAGTTCTCTCTTCCTTAATTTTCTATTCAATCCGTGCGACGACTAATCGCTCTTGTAGTCGACTTCTGTAATGAAATGCTGCCAGAGAAAAGTATCTAATTGTTTCCAGAAAGTGAAAGTACATGTAGCCCATTTACTCGCACTAATTACTAACCGAGAAATTGTTCTATTAACTTCGAAAGTAATTAAGTTTCTGAGTTACGCCGATGTTTGTTAGATTTGTTTCATACCGTAAAGTCACTAATTTACGATGGAAAGGTTGGCCAATTGGTTTGAAGCTAGAACATAAAATCTGAATGGTAGATGGTGCAGTCTGGAAACTGATAGCGTTAATCGGGACGCAAGTATCTCCCTCCTAGGGCAAGTTTAAAGTAAGCCCGTGTGTCAAAACTTTCGCGGTGTAATCAAGGAAATTCCTTATCGGAATCTGCTCGTAAGTAAGTACCTACTTGCTATAATTATACCTCTGTGACCGATTTCACTATAGCCATCCCCATCATCTTATGCCGATACTTTTTTTTTTGATCAAATGTATTTAGACGTCTTCTAGTATAAAAACAGTCACGTCAATCATCCCAGGTAGCCGCCCACTGGAAAGCTGGTCGCCTGTGAGTTGTGCACAAGTTATGCTATTATTTTCATCTCTAACTAGCCCATGCGAGGACAAATACATAAGTTTTACAATGGACGGCTACCTGCGACTAGTAGGGGAGGTAATCCACTGACCGAGAGTAATCAAAATTTTAACCGATGGAGTTCTACTTTGGCCTATCCGAGTATGCTAAAATCGACGGTCTGCCGCCTCGGGTCATGTAACCTAGGGCTCTGCGGTACTTTTTGCGGTAGCAATTCTAAATGTTTTTTTTTACTTTGAGAAAATAAGTTATACACCAATTGAAAACGTTGATAACAGCCCTTAAACAAATATTTTAAAAAATCGCGACGAACATTTGATAACTAGTTTGATAACTCCATCAGATATCTTATATAAGATAATAATTAGAGAAAAAATTTAAAAAAGAAACACTGTCCTAGTCATTGGCAATACCATATTTTCACTTTTATAAAAAGTGCTTGCTTAGATGCTTCTGTAAATAAAATTCTCATAGAAACGTCCGTAGCCTATGCGAGTAAAACTCGACCCTTTTACTTCTGTTTTTACGTTAACCGAGCGATCTAATTTTTGTAATCACAAGCAGCGCTGATGACCAGCACGTTATAGCTAACTGATGCCTGCTTTTACCTATCTCCGTTCCCTTTTTTTTGTTATTTATAATTGCCGAAACGAACCCAACGTAAATTTCGAGGCCGCGTCCCCTGTTCAGCCAATCTGAGAGCCTCGATTTCAATCTACTATGCATTTTCAGCTCGGCAAAAGGGATCTGACCATTCTAAATGCGCATGCTTATCGCCAATAAACTGACTCGCGCCCCTTATCCGTATGAAGCGGTACATTTTGTGCACATATAAAATTTGAAAAGTTTTAACTGCAAAGCGCGCCCCCTTTACACACCCTCACCAATGTTAATCTCAACCCTTTATTTTTAACTCGCTATCACGTTTTATTAATACATCCTCGAAAAAAATAAACTATAAACAAAATTTAAAAGAATTATTGGTGTCAAATTGTTTTTATAATATGGAGGAATTCTATCAATTTGTAAAACCTTAGTTTAAAACGTATTTGGCTTATTGTAAATCTTTTGACGTTTATTTTAGTGCTTTCGCAAGAACCGCACTAAAATACTAATAAATATTATTATTATTATTATTTACGATGCCAATGGAATTTACTTTCTGTTTTTTCATTCATTCAGTTACATTATCAATTGTAAAAATCCCACCAAAAGCTGTGATCTTCCAGCTAATCCTCAGATATTATAATTTCCGCACAAATTCGCGAAACCATATTGACAAATAAACGAAGTGCATGTAGGTATTCTGTTGATATGTTCAAAACAAATTTCTGTTATTGATTTCTACATTTTTCCTTAGCACTGAAAATGGAATAATATAGTAAGTGAAGTCTCTGGAAATAGAAAAGATATATACCCCCAAATGTCTCGACCCTAGACATCCCAAAATACAAACAGAAAAAGCGATAAATTAATAAGGCTTGACTGAGATCAACGAATTGGGTCAACGATTTTTATCCCTAGTACCAAAATACTTCCGCAAATAACGGGCTGGACGTGCCCTCTCATCTCCAAGCAGTTGTCAAGAAATTTAATTATGGCAACATTCGAGAAGTTTGCCAACTATTCCCAACATTGGAAAATAACTGCACGAATTCCCATTTTTCTGGTTGGTGCCAGTCTATCATAAGCTCTCCAATGTGGAATGACAGAAATGTCTACCACAAATCGTTATGTAGCAAACGTACGTTTTCTCGAGCAGTGCCATACAAAATTAATTGCAAAGATTTAAGTTTCGAAGGAATGCGAAATTTACGAGCTTAAACAATGCACCTAGGTCGTTTCATCGCAGCGTAACGATCGTACACTACCCTCATTATTAAAATAGTAATTGTGCTCTGAAATTCTACCCCTGCTAATGTCATTTTCCCACCGCATTTCCACTGTGAAATGCAAATGCATCAGACAATCATGCAAATGCCCACCATTAGTCGAACAAATGACTGTCGATCGGAAGCTATACGAAGGAATTTAGGATTTCTAAGGTGAATGCTCATTAGTGCCGCAGTGAAATGGTACCTGTAACATTTTTCCGTTTTAAATTCTAGAAAGGAAACGGGAGCGAACATAAAGTCATGCTACATTAAGTGCACCCTTCTCTCGAAGTTTTATCTCCCCTTTGTCAATAAAGCGCGCTTTTAAAGATGATGTAAGTAAGCGACGGAAAAGTCATTATATAAGGCGAATTTAGGGAAATATATTGTTTATGTAAATGTACGCCAATTATGTTTTATATCACATATAGACGGTAGACTTCTTTTTAAGGCGCATTAGCCCAGCTTTAAAATTTCAAATAATTTGTAAGATTTCAAGAAAGTACAGTAACGTAAATTTAATTATGTCATTTATTTATTTACATTTAATTGATAATGAATTTATAACAGTCATTGACAAGGTTAACTTATAACAGATAATTATTATACATGCGCGAACTTTAGCATAGAACTTGCATTAAACACTCTTTACACGTAAAGTTTCTAGACAAATCACGAAACATTCTCGAGAATCCCCGAACAAGCAAATCACATTTCCCGGAAAATCTTCACCCCTTATCGCCTCTGACTAATCTTGATAGACTTGATGGCGCCCTGGTGCTTGGAAAACTCGCTACAGTACCCTTCTAGAAGAATTTAGAAAAAATCTTTTGAACGATTTTATTTAGGATTCTAACATTCTCCCAAGTAGCAGGTTGGCAAAAGGATCGCTAACTGACAAATATTTTTAAAGGGTCACCTCAATATTTTCAACATTTTTCACTATTTTCTTTGCAAGCACCGCGGAAAGGAATTACATTACACTCAATTTC